AGATTTGGTTTCGCGGCAACTGGAGCGCAGCTGGAACAACAGGAGAAACAGGCGCGGCCTGGAAGTCAGCAAAATCGTCGTCTGGGAAAGATCAGGCTTTCGCAAATTTCCGAATGGTTGTCACTGACCGTCAACACATTCGATGGGGCCGGAGTGCTGCCGGAGCGGCTTTGGGTGCAACAGGCGGCGGGGCAGCAAAGTCGTCGTCACCAGCCTCGATTGACAATGGGCTGAGGAGCGGCAGCAGGGGGAGCGCCGGGTATCGGGACTGAAGCTTTGCGCACTGGCGCAGAGCGAGTGTGACGGGAGACGAAGTTCGAGCACCAATTTCATCGTCCCCTGCGTTATACTCTTCGAATGCACCGGTCGCCGGTCGTCTCTGAAGCCACCGCTGGAGCTGGCGCCCATCGCATGGACCCTCCCGATTGGTAGTAGTCTGTGATCCTTGGTCAAAACCCAGGAAGATAAAGACGCCTATGCCGCACCAGAGCTGCTTTCCGCACCGTAACCACCTCCCCCTCCCCCAACCCCACCACTACCGCCGTAGCCATACTCGCTACCAAATCCACCGTATCGGCCCCCGCCACTAGAGAAGGATAATCCGTCGTGCCTGCCCGGTGTACTTGCTCTTGTTCGCCTTCGCTTTCCTTCTCTCGGTGCGAATCTTGTCGACGTCCGAAAGTAATTCTACAATCTCCTTGGCACGGTTCGCACTGGAAAAAGGCATAAGGAAAGCATGTACGGTAATGGCGTGTGAACTACCGTTCAAGCCCTCGTCTTTCCCCTTGTCATCGATGTAGTGGAAATTCCGGAGCATTTTGATCGTGGAAACATGAGAGCGGGCGTCATCACCACCCTTTCCGATCCGTTCTTCACGAGGTATTCAAGCAGTTGGAGTGCCTGCGATGTACGGATCAGCGCTTTGCGCGCCGCGTTGCTGACACACACACGCACTTTGTAGATTTGGCGCCATTGGCGAGCTTCTTTTCCATAAAACGGGCGTAGATGCTGGGCATGATTCATTGAAGTCCGGGCTATGACTATCAGTGGTCCGAGCGCGAGTGGGCGGGGAGTCCGCGTACTAGTTGAATGTTCTGAGGAGAGTGAGGCAAAGTTTCAACAACTATCGGTAGAAGAGTGCTCACGATTTGCGATATCTTGCATCAGAGTCGAGCTGGCGCCCCTGTAATCTCGGTTTGAGCATCATGCCGAGTCAGTCCGCGATACCCTGAGCGCCCGAGGGCGCCAGCAAGGACGTGTAAAGGGACGAGAACGTACCAAGGCTCGTCATTTGTCGCCTCCCTCACTTTGCCTCTATCTCGCTGACGTTCAGGACGACGTTCTTGGCCTAGGAAGTCGAGGTCAATCAGCTTCGTCGAGGGTGGAGGACGCGGAGCGAGACGGACTTGGTTGTACATCGACTTGATATCATACATGGTGATTTGGGACAGTTGGGTCCCGAGGGCTTCTAGACGATCCATGCTGGGCGAATCGACAAACTGAATGGGTATTGTTACGGAGCGTCGGAGGTGGCGGCACTAAAGAGGGTCACACTGTGACGCTGGCATCACGACCCCGACTTTGCGATCAAACCACGACGAACCCGGCTCAGTCGCGTCCGGGACTGGCCCGCACCGTTTCTTGGATATAGTCCAACACTACACATCTCTATTATCCGGCGTCCGAATCTCTCTTCCATTCTCTCCTTCCCCCATAACGCGTCATGCGCTTTACTAAACCGGCTTGGGTCAAACACACCGACTCCGGAGCTGGGCACGCTGATTCCTCAAAACGTCTGGCCATCTTCTCCGTCCACGTCCACCCCGACGGCTCACGTATCGCCACTGGCGGTATCGACACCAAAGTGCGCATATGGAGCACAAAGCCGATTCTGAACGCCGCCTCGGAAGCGGCGAATCGTCCACCTAAATCGCTGTCCACACTCATGATGCACACGGGCCCCGTGCTCACCGTGCGCTGGGCACACTCTGGAAAATGGCTTGCGAGTGGGAGCGATGACAAGACGATCATGATATGGGATTTCGATCCGTGAGCTGCTTATTCTGGTGACAAGTGTTCAGTGTCTATAATCCTGCAGTTCAGCGAAAGGGAAGCTTTGGGGCTCAGATGAGGTGAACGTCGAGGGTTGGAGAGCACTCAAGTCATTGACCGGACATGGGAGTGGTGCGTTCCCTACCGACGCGTCTCGGAAATTCCGTGCTCACTCGACTTTCAGACGTGACCGACGTGGCTTGGTCTCCCGGGGATCGATATCTCGCCTCGGCCGGACTCGATTCGAAGGTGATCATCTGGTGCGGATATACACATGGTGTGCAAGGCTTACAACTCTATCTCTCCGTGTATAACCCGTTGCAGAGCAGCTCAGAAAGCTGGATCAACACCAGGGTTTCGTGAAAGGAGTTTGCTGGGATCCAGTAGGGGAATTTCTTGCCACACAGTCCGACGATCGGTCTGTGAAGATATGGAATACGACGGATTGGTCACTGGAGGCCACAGTAACCAAGCCTTTTGAGGATTCACCTGGAAGCACATTCTTCAGAAGATTGAGGTACGTCTCAGGGACTAGTGCAACGCTTCAGGGCCCTGAACGCTTGTTGCAGCTGGTCGCCTGACGGAGCACATATAACAGCTTCCAACGCCACGAACAACAAGGGCTTCGTGTTCATCGCAGCAGTCATCACCCGCAACTCGTGGACCTCAGAAATCAGCCTAGTAGGACACGAGAACACAGTCGAAGTTGCGGTGCGTCATATGTGGTTTGGCAGGTCTTCTTAGAACTTAGAAGCATATCAGGCCTACAACCCACACATTTTCCTGCGCAATCCTCAAGGACAGGTTCAAACGTCGAACATCTGTTCTGTCGTTGCGTTGGGCGCCGATGACCATTCCGTGTCAATATGGCAAACGAAGTCAGCGCGGCCGCTGATCGTTGCGAAGGATGTCTTCGACCGGCACATTATGGACCTCAACTGGTGTGTAGAATCACATTGTCTCCGCGTTCTCCTTGCCGATTTTCCGCAGGTCTTGGGACGGCCTCAACCTGTACGCTGTCTCCTCGGATGGGACGCTGGCGGCTTTCAGCTTCGACGAGGAAGAACTGGAAGGTCTTTGTCCCAACCACGTGCAGTCCACGTACTTGAAGAAGTTCCCCTTCACTCCTCCGATGCTTCCTGTCGGATTCTCGCACGAATCGCTTCGGCTTACTCCACCGCCATCACCCAAGGCTCACGACACGGGCTTTGGAGCTGCCAACAGCAACATGAATGGGGAGAGGGTCAATGTGTTGGTCGCCAAGCGTGGTGGAAAGAAACGCGCAGGTTTCTTGACTGTCCCTCCTGGACATCCTCCGGCTCCGGCTCCGGCTGCGGCTGCGGCTGCGGCCTCGAGCATCTCAGCACCTCCATTCGCGACGCCTTCACTCACCGGCGTGTCCATATCCAAACACTCGCAATCTCATCACCAGCGGGCGCCCAGTCCCTTCGATATGGATGAAGACAATTGGGGATCCGCCAGCGTCCGAATCGATGCAGTTGAAGAAACCGGTAGTCGGAAGCGCCGGGCATCGACGGCCGCAATGAACGTTGATGGTGAAGAGCCGAAACGGGCACGGACGCTGGGTGCTGAACGAAAACGAGTCAATGTGCCGGTCAAAGAACTCGCTCCACAAGCTTCTCATGGAGCCTCGAGTATCAGCAACCTCAATCTACTGGTGCCGTCCTTGATGTCGTTTCTCAGTGCCACCGTCGAGGGCAGTGATGATGTCGTCGAGGTTGTGAATCCCGAAAGCGAGGATGGGTGTCCAGAAGTGGTGATGATGAGTGGAAGACATCCTCAATGGCTCGACTATCTCCCGAGCCCCGCCTTGGCAGTCAGCGCGTCATCTCGGTTTTGTGCGGTGGCGCTACGGGATGGATCTGTGATTGTATATTCACACGCTGGCCGACGGTGCGTAATATTCCAAGTCAATCGTTTACATTCCCATTAATTTTCTTCGAAGCCTTATGCCAACGCTCGCACTGGGATCTCCCTGTTCGTTCCTCGACGGCCGAGGCAACATCCTAATGGCGATCAGTACGAGTGGGATGCTGCATTCGTGGGACATCCGAAAGCAATCAGCACTGTTCCCTGCCGTGTCGCTCTCGACCATTTTGACCACGCCGAACATCATCTTAGCCGCAGCCAGGGTGCAACCCACCGGTGCCTCGATCCTCACGTGCTCAAACGGCATCGTGTACTCTTACGACCCCTCGTTGATGGCCTTCACGAAGCTCACTGAGCGCTGGTGGTCAGAAGGATCCGATGTCTGGCAAGCGCGTCAGCGGTCTGCGACGAACCCAACGGCCAATCGCGGGATAGTCAGCGTCACGGAGGGGAGCATCGCCGGCGAGACAACCGGAGCAGACAAGAAACGACCCAAGTTCTGGAGCGAAGCGATGACGCTGGCCCATCTAGAGACGAGGATGCATTCTGCGCGCGCGCTGGATAGTCCCGCGGAGTTCAAGCAGGCGCTGTCGCAATATACCAAGAAGCTTGCGGAGGAAGGTTACAAGAACAAGGCTGAGGAGCTGATCAGAGACCTGATTGGGCCGATGTATGCTGGCGGCGACCCGACCTGGGCGCCATCTGTTGCCGGACTCTCCAAGCGCGACCTGCTCAAGGATGTGCTGAGTGCGTTCTGTGAGTGCCGCCTTTGCGCTTCATTGTCTCGCTATGTCTGGCTCATGTATCTATCTCAGCGCGGAGCAAAAATCTAGGAAGACTGGCAGTTGAATGGCAGGACGCAGTCAGAAGAGCGGATTGAGATTTCTCCTTGCTCTCCTTTTGCTGTGTACCGTGTTTTCGACTGGACCCTCTTGTTGTGCATGTATATTTGTATTTGAAAAGGATCCTGCGATGTAACGGGCAGTGAAACTGATGCTGAACCCTGTCTACTGACGTGCAGACGAAGGGCGGCCGGTTCTATCAGTTTGTCGCGGGTTATGTGGAAAGGCAGAGGCATCACCAAAGCCAGGTCTTTTCTGGAACAATCCAAGGAAATTTGCAAGTCTAAAGACAGGGACCAGTCGAGACCTACCGGGATAATTCGTCCTGGCGCTGCAAACGGGGAAGGACCCGAGCGAGTCTAGGCAGTTGACATCTCACGACGGGGGGAAAAAATCATTCTACAAGCAATATATGAAGCACAACTCTGATCTACAGAGCGAATCTATGAGGGAGAGAGAGAGAGTCGTCCAAATCAAGATGAAGCAAATCCAAGATGAAGCAGATCCGAATCCAAGAGATATCGCAGAGACCGGGACCGAGACCGAGACTGAGACCGAGACTGAGACCGAGACGAGACAGTAGTAGTGGTTGATTTCAGCGCGGACGACAGACAGACGAGGGCTCCCCTCCCAAGCTCGCACCATGGAACACACAGCCGCGCTCATCACCTAACCCTCTGCACCGCAGCAAAGGCCCGTCAGCCTCGCTGCGGCCACATTGCCGCCGTGCCGCGAAGGGGCGTCCCCGCTTCTTGGCACGGCCAGCGACGTCTGAGCACGTTACTCGAGATCAGTCGCGTTCAGTGGCTGGGTTATCAGAGCAGCAAGATGCGATTCTTCCGGTTCAAAGCATTGGTCAGTTCGTCCTCGTCGCCGTCGCCGCCGCCAGAATGGATGTGTTCTACCGTCAAGCCCGCCAGGCCCCGGCCCGGGGGTGGTGGTTTATATGGTGGGTGGGCCGTAGGGAAGCCAGGGATTGGTTGGGTGACTGCGTCGGTCCCAGGATGTATGCATATGAGCGGGGTGTTTGGATGCCGGTCGGACGAGCTGTCGAATAGATCACGCTCGGCTGAGCCTGAGTTTGCACGAAGCGTGACGCGAATGTGTCTGCTGGCGCAGGAACTCGACTGGCGTACGGACGAGGAGTTTGAATACTGGGAAGGCGAGACGTTGCATAGATCACACTCGGCTGACACTGAGATGGCGCCAAGGGGATGCGGGATGGGTTTGCTAGCGCAAGACCTCGAGTGTAAGCAGTCTGTCGCAGGATCTGTGGCTTGCGGACGCGACTAGTCATGGGATCGTTCCCTTGCTTCTGGGCGATCGGAACATGCAGACGCGATTTGACTGGGCTTCGAGGGGCCCTCATCGTCGGTGAAGACGCGATTGGCGGTTGCGTGAGAGGATTGAGGGGTAAAGTGGTAGGCTGGAGGACCGCAAACGGCGCAGTCAAAGCAGGCGCGATGGCAGCTTGCTGTGACTGGTTGGGCATGAGCATCGACGAAAGGGAGCAAGGAGCCCGATGCCCTACCTCTTCAGCAGCAATCCTCGTCTCGTTTTTGGTAGCCGGAGGATGATGGAACTCGGAAGGCATGGACTGGTGGGACCATCAGCAAGAACCAGCTACGACAATGGGAGAACGCACCTCGACATCGTCAACCTCCTCTGAGCTCTCACCCAGGTCTGAGTCGCTGCTCGTGAGCTCGACGATGCGCGGCATGGATGAAGACGCCAGAAACTGCATGCACGGTGAGATCTCGAGTACGAACAGACCGAATTGGATATATACCTCTCGATCATCGAGCTCCACCAAGCATGGGCCCGCGTTCTCCGGGATCGACAAACTTGGTCGGCACTGAGCGATGAAAGCGGTTAGCACTATGAGTATGTGGAGGAACGAGAGATGCGCGCACGTCGTCAACATCCGCAGCGCTGGGTACATTCGCAACCACTATCAACGAGGACGACTACAGATTTTCAGTGGATAACGCAGCAAACAAGAGGATAAACACACCTGAGATCCATTGCTGATCTCGTGCGTGGGTGCGTTCTCGAAGCCAGCCTTGCTAACAGTCATCGCGCGTTCTTCAGTCAGCGCATGGGTAGTTAATTTTGACGCGACTTGAGCAAGGTAGGCGAGCCCGACCAGAACCAGCATGCATTGAGTCTTGTTGTCGTCCGCCGTCGTCGCAGCCACCTGCACTTGCAAGCTAGGAGAGAGCGAAAGGACAGGGGTAGTGGGTGTGGTGTTCGTCTCAGCCGAGCAAGCCAAGTCAAGCATTTGCAGTCGATTGATGATACAGAAGACGATGAAGCAAGCAAGAAGAAGCAAAGAAGCCAGAATATTGGGCTCAGATGTGTCTTGAGATGAGGGGGCAGATTGAGTCACAGAGGGATTCACAGCGATCTGGGTCGCAGCGTGGGGAGAAGACGCGTTGACGGCAGTCGCAGTGGAGACAAGCCCATCCAGAGGAAGATTAACACTGGGCGAGTTCGCCCAATCGGCGTTCAGGGTACGGGTGGGTGTGTTGGGCGCCGAGCGAGGCACGACCACGACCTTGGATGAGCTTGCGGCGACAGGAGAAGCAGTCTGGGGTTGATCCACACTGGGCGAGATCACAGAATCGCCCAGACAGGTGCACCCGGGCGCAGCGTGTTGGACAGCGGTCGCCTCCTTTTCGTCTTCGACTTCGTTCAGGTCGTTCTCATACACTCGGCGAGGTCGCTCAAATGAGAATGTGTATGCCCCAGCGACCACGTCCGAGTCCCAAGTGTAGTTCGTGTACCCGATCTCCTTGAACAGCACAGCGATCTTGTCCATCAGGGGGAGCACCCTACGCAGTTGCGCGTCGTCCTCTTGCCAGTAGTAGTCCACGACATCGAGCCTGCGCATCGGATGCACATAGTCCTCGAACAGTTTGGGGTCCGAGTACAGCGGCGCGGGGGCAAGCAGCCAGTTGATGAGATCCCCAGGGGCAACGACGTTGAACTTGAAGGACGCGGTGATCGCGAGAAGAAGGCCAAGGCCGTGGATGAAGGTGTGAAGCAGAAGCATCGCGGGGTGACCGATGATGAGGTGTTTCTGGGGGGCAGAGAGCAGGGATGGTCGTGGTAAATGGCCAAGATGCAATGGGGGCTGTACGTTCGTTCAGGCGGGAATTTAAACCGCGTCGTGCCCAAGCTTGTGCAAGCAACGCGCACACGTGTATCACGTGCACCGCGTTCGTCTTCCGCTACTTAGCCCCTCGGTGGACCGTCCCTGACCTCGGCACCCAAGCCTTCATGCAGCTGCCAGCTCGATGCCCAGATACTGGATTTAACGTTGGAAACGTTCCCTCCCTTGACTCTCCACATTGCCAAGTTACCACCTCGAGATACCCGACCATTTGAAGAAACTCGCGAGACGAAGGTCCGGGTCATCCGAGCGGCAGAAAGAACGTCTCGTTTCCGAGGCCAGGTCGGCGCCTACGATTTGTGGGATTCCCGGTGCTGACGGAGCGAGAGTCAAAGCACGCCGTCTACAACACACAGGATGCACCGGTCTGCTCTGTCCAAATTCAATTCGAACAATCCCGCTCTCTTGATCACCTACCCGCCCTGTAGATAGTACCGCGTCCCGAGTCCCGGATCGTCGTCTTGCAAGATTAGAGATGCATCGACATGTCCAATCTCCGGGAAGCCCCTCATCGTCAGGTATTCATGCGACGATGCGGGACCGGATATCCGTTGGGATGAAGAAGCTCCCCGGTTTTCACACGAGTCCAAAAAGGGGGGCACATGGGTACAATTGACACAGACTGTATCTGATAACAATACTTTGAATGAAAGGGCGCAGAAAGTCCAAATGGTTACAAATATGCAGGTGGCCCCCTCCTCGGCATAAGCGGCGCTGGCTCTCGGTCAGCAGCATCGGATCCTGTTCGCATCTGGCGAGAAGCTGGTGATCTAGTGGGATACCCTGCAGGCCTCATCGGGTCGTCAAGGTCTTGAGAGGGTCGCGGAGGTCTCCTCGGCTCGGGCCTCGTCATCGGCGGATCCCGAAGCGGACTGCCTGCATTGGGTGCTCGCACATCCCGGGCCCACGCACTGACACTTTCCATGCCTCGTGACGAGATTGACAGCGGCTCCGAGTCCATCTCCAGGAAAGAATCGTTGGAGGAATACGCGGATCCATTTCGCGAATGGCTGGCGAGCGAAGGCGGCGGTAGCAGTGGGGCAGTAGACCCTGCTGGCGAATGCGTTCTCCAGGGCGACGGCGACTCGGACTTCGAGGGCGATCCGAAGTGCAGCGACGCCACCTGCGGGGGCGGCTGAAGCTCAGCAACACTCCCCGGAACAGGCCCGTATGAGTAGGGAGAGTGCGCAGCCGAGGACTGGTCCGTCGTTTGGGGTACATCGGCAATGATTTCGGGCGTGAATGGCGCTCGCGGGTCGGCAAAGTCCCAGGCGCCATCAGGCCGCCTAGTCGCGATACGCATATTGGTACCTGGCGTGTGTACTGCCAGGTGTAAGCGTCAGACACGTCCTCCAGCAGCAGCAGCAGCAGCAAAATACTCACTGAAACGCGGGGTTCCTTTCCCCTGCGCAGGCGTAATCATCAACGCAGCGGGATGGCTGCGCGAAACCGTTTCTCCAGCCTGCACCTCCCGACTCCCCGAGGGCTCCTTGCTCTTGCGGCGGAAATGACGGACGACTAGCATGAGTGAGACTGATAGGAGCAGTCCGATGGTCCCTCCGACGACAATAGGCAAGAGTAGTGAGGGCCGTGGAACCGGTGAAGGTGCTGACCCAGGTGCAGATGCAGTCGTGATGGAGGCCATGAGCGTCAAGCTAGGCATATTTAATTCGTCGTCCCAGTCCTGACGCGCGTTTCAAATGTGCAACGAGTAGTGGGCGATCGGCGCTCTGTAAGAGATCGATGGTTGGGCGCGCCACCAGGGCCAGATCCCAGTGTGTGTGGCGGAAGGAAAGAGCGCAAGGGAGAGGGCCGAAGCGATGCTCGTGAGCAAACCAGGTGAGAACAGGAAGTAAGAGAGGACTGTCGTCCGACAGTGACAGGGACGGCCATGCTCAAGAAGGGAAGAACAAACGACGCGGGTTTGATGGCTGATCGATTCCAACAGCGATCTGCCCTGTCACTGATGAATACAATTACCGAACGAGTACCTGGTTCCTTCTAGCAGAATTCCAAATCTGCTTCTGCTGAGCCGGCACTAACTTTGCACTCAAAATCGCGTTCTTGTGCCAGACACAAAGCAGTTCATCTGGCCGTAACGACTCTCTACCAAATGTCCACAACTCAGTACACGACGTCAACCTGTCTGCTCACAACATGTCGTGCCTACACCAGTCATCACGGGGGAACAATCGGACGCCGAAACGTCGAAGGGCATGGTCATGTCGAAAGCACCAAGGGAACACTAGCTCTGTTTCATGGCGTGAGATTCATTTTTGCGCTGGGAACCGAAGCTGACTGCACTCGTAGCTGATTAACGCCTTTGCCAGCACTACTAAGCAGACAGCGACACTGCTCACTTGTTTAGATTGATCGTGTGCTGAATCTGGGGCTTAGGCTCTGTGAGAAAGACTACTTGACTAAGTGCATACATGAGCTCAGCCCTCCACTCGAAACTCCGTGCTTCATGCCTTAGTCAGACGCGTGGATGCCATTGACCTTGGGCTGAACGCACTCCGAGTCAGGTGATGCAAGGACAGGTGCCGGTGCTCTGTCAGAATCATCGACACCAGCCGCGGCCGCATCACCTTGACTAGGTGACGTTTGCATCGGGGGCGGTGGATCCGAGTAGGGAGGGTAAGCGTATGGAGGATACCTCGCAGCCTCCATCCTAGCTCGATTCTCGCGCGCCCGCTCTCGTCTTTCCTCTCGCAGCTCCTCCTTCTCCCGTTTCATATCGTTCTGCTGCGTGACCCAGGCTTTGATTTCGTCAGCAGCAGCGGCCGGGCGCTCCCGGTTCCGCAGCAGATAACCTTGCAGCTCGGCCGGCGAGAACTCGTAGTCACGAATCCCATCAGCGAATCGCTGAGCGAGCTCTGCTACTTCGGTCTGGCTCAATTTCCTCGGCTTCTCGAGCGACTCCTCGGAATCCTCAAACAATCGCTCAAACATCCTGCGGGCCTGTTCTTTCGTGGCTAGCGTGTACCGCACACGATAGTCGATTCGCCCTGGACGCATCAACGCAGAATCTAGACGATCGACGTAGTTCGTCTGAAACGGGGTCAGCAAATGCTGGATTCGTCTGTGATCGACTGACTGTTGCAAAGAAGAGCTTTCCCTCTTCACTGCCTATGCCGTCAATCACATTGAGCAGACCCGAAAGAGTGACACCGCCTTTTCGATCTGGACGGTAGTCGTCATCGTCTGAATCTCGAGACGGCAGCGCACAGTCGATGTCCTCAACAAGCACAAGGCTCCGCTTGGGAATGGTCGAAATCGCCCGTTGGAGGAATGCATCATCTACGCTGGCGCACGAGGTTCAGCGCGAGCACTGCATTTCTGCAAGACAAACATACAATCCAGAGGCCAAAGAGAACGAATGAACTTCGAGGTTGAGAGCACCGGCCTGGAAAAAGAGTTAGCGGAACCTTGAGCAAGCACACCGACGTATCACCGACAACGGCATGGATAGTGGAGCCTGTCTTCAAATTAGCATAGCAACCCCTAAATGAACGGCCATTACCGACTTTTGCCGGTTCCAGGAGGCCCAAATAACAGATATCCTCGCCGATGGGGAATGCCTGCTCGATGATACCAAGCTTCAGCAGCGAAGAATCGTCGCGCATCCGCAATCAAGTCATCCAAAGCCCCGTCTGACGGGTATCAGATGTGCCGGTCCACGACGGTTAGCGGCGAGACTGACCTGGCAAGATGATAGACTCGATCGGTCGTTGAGGCTTCCGTTTGACCGTCCACAGGAAGGACCCCCCGTATCCCGGCTGTGACACAACTCAGAGACAGCGACGACCAAGCATTGAGTCATACCGAATCGGCGAGGAAAATGGTCACGTATGGCTTACTCTTCAGCTGATAGTTCTGGTGGGCTTCCTCGACAAATTCAGACAGAACTGATATCTGCCGCGTGAATATGCTAAGGATAAAGAATGAGTTTGGCCACACTGCCCGGCGAAAGGACCGTACGTGATGGAAAGGGTGACCGTTTGCTGCGTCTGTCCATTCGGAGCCTGAGTTTGTATGCGGTAGCGCTGCACTTCAACCCAGTGCCCGCGCCATCGAAACAACTGCGGCGCTTCGTAGGTCGGAACATAGTCGGCATTGCCCGTAATTTCGGGGTCAGCCGATACCGTCACACCGTACACGACTTTGGAGCTCTTGGACGACACACGGAAGTCTTGTGCATATTGCCAGACGTTGTTATCAGTCTGCCCCTCAGGTTCTGATTGTGGGCGCAGAAAACTGAGCAACTCACTCACCAGAAACATGACAACCCATTCATAAGCTGGATCCCCCAAGACGAATTCAGCGCTGATTGAATATCCTGTGATCACATTCAACCGAGGGTCAGGGTCAGAGGCGCCCTGGATCGTTGAACGAACGCAGTTTCAAGCGCTGATATAGCCAGACCACCGCCTGCTTCACAGTTTCAACGACCGCGCCGGCAGCGATAAACTTGAGTCCGTCCACGATGTAGCCATAAGCCCAAGTGTTGCGCATCCTGTTCCACGAAACCGCGACCAGCTGCATAGACCCCGGTATCCCTTTGATGACGCTCCACAGCGGCCGGGGCCGCGGTGCGGGAGGAGGGAGCATGGCCGGATACGAAAACCGCACGAAATCAGCGTTTTCGGTCATGGTCCCTAGAGAGGACGACATGTGAGGGAGGAAGAGAGGCAAGGTGAAAGGCGGGTGACGTCTCCATCACAGGCTGGGCGATGCATTTGAATCTCAGCAGACGCCACGAACAAGGCGCCAGGCAATCTGACTCGACAGTGTCGGATTCTTCCATCGCCATCGATTGCATTCTGCGGCAAAGCCATTCGGTGATACGCCCATATCCCGAAATATGTGTGGCACGGAAAGCGACTGATGGAGCAGACAGCCATCTGCTTCATTTGGGGTTCTGCTTAGTCCAAATCTAGATCCCACGAACTCGTTCTCGGCGAACAATGGCCAACTGATATTGAGGGAGACCCTTGCATACTTTGAGGACGCACACCACACACCTTGATTCTATGCGACTTCATCGGAGATGGTACGGACCAGAGCCAGCGAAATCCATTCTAACTGCCCGAAAGGTGCAAGTCGCCTGCTCCCGCCCTCCCATCTGTACGTGGTGTCGCAATGTGTACTCTTCTCAGCCAAATTGGTCGCAACATCTTCCGGCGAACTAAATGCGAAGATGTTTGGGCACTTTCAAGCGAGGGTGTCGAAAAAAAACAGATCACGGAAACGCGCGCATCGAACGACAGTTCTTTTTGGTGGCTTAGTTCAAGGGGAGGAGGAGAGTTGTGAGCTTTGGACTTTCGGACGTGGTCGGAAAGCCTCGGGCCTATTCGGCATTCCGAGACGGGAAAGAGGATTCCTATTTTCGGCACCAACAGTTGGCAGGTTCAGCGAAATCGCCAGGCTCAAGCCCTCCACGGAAAAGAATTCAATCTACGACTTTGACTTCGGGAGTTTGGAACATGCCTGTATCATGTCACGATGTGCAGGCTACTAGGGATTGGGAGGTACGCGCATCCACTGGCGGTCACGTTATCTGGCGAGGTCAGGCAGTGAAAACACGTGGCGATAGGAGTCCAAGATTGCTGGATGCTTCCGCTTCTCCCCTTGAGAAGCTGACCGTCTTAAGCCGTCAATTATACAGGAAGACAGTGCGCATGGTGAGTCTCCATCAAGGATACAAACTTCCGATCCATCCTGACCACGGCAGAATTGAGCTGTGGATATGTTTCTTTACACTCAGATCAGAACGTGACCTACCAATGATAGCAAGGCAGAGGACATAGAAAGAACCAAATCGACATATGTGCGGTGATGTCCCCCTTCTCAGTAAACCCCGCGCTGCACCAGCCGCAGTTGTGGGTTCGATTCTTTGGTGTTGAGAAGGTACGCGTTGTATTGGAACGTGGCGACGATTCGGCTGTGGAACAGGACCCAGGACTTAACGTGCAACTTCACAATTGTTGACACACTGCAATTAAACTGTGGTTGCGGATCGGCCCGTGGCGCTTACTGGACTGTCAGTGTTTTTGGCTGTTTCCTGTGGTCAGATTCCAATTTTTTTGAGCAGATGCGTTGACAGAGATTCAGAGAAATCCGCTCAGATCCATACAGGCTTCCCTGGCGAGGACAGGGACGGTGCACCGAGGGGCTAAGTGGAGGGAGACGAACACGGTACACGTGATACACGTGTGCGCGTTCTTTGCGCAAGCTTGGCACGACGCGGTTTAAATCCCCGCCTGAACGAACGTACAGCCCCCATTGCATCTTGGCCATTGACCACGATCATCCCTGCTCTCTGCTCCCCAGAAACACCTCATCATCGGTCACCCCGCGATGCTTCTGCTTCACACCTTCATCCACGGCCTTGGCCTTCTTCTCGCGATCACCGCGTCCTTCAAGTTCAACGTCGTTGCCCCTGGGGATCTCATCAACTGGCTGCTTGCCCCCGCGCCGCTGTACTCGGACCCCAAACTGTTCGAGGACTATGTGCATCCGATGCGCAGGCTCGATGTCGTGGACTACTACTGGCAAGAGGACGACGCGCAACTGCGTAGGGTGCTCCCCCTGATGGACAAGATCGCTGTGCTGTTCAAGGAGATCGGGTACACGAACTACACTTGGGACTCGGACGTGGTCGCTGGGGCATACACATTCTCCTTCGAGCGACCCCGTGGAGTCTATGTGAACGACATGGACGATGACGCGACCGCCGTTCAACACGATGCGCCCGGGTGCACCTGTCTGGGCGATTCTGGGATCTCGCCCAGCGTGGATCAGCCCCAGACTGCTTCTCCTGTCGCCGCAAGCTCATCCAAGGTCGTGGTCGTGCCTCGCTCGGCGCCCAACACACCCACCCGTACCCTGGACGCCGATTGGGTGAACTCGCCCAGTGTTAATCTTCCTCTGGATGGGCTTGTCTCCACTGCGACTGCCGTCAACGCGTCTTCTCTTCACGCTGCGACTCAGATGTCTGGGACCGCCTCCGTTACTCAATCTGCCCCCTCGTCTCAAGACACATCTGAGGTCAATCTTCTGGCTTCTTTGCTTCTTCTTGCTTGCTTCATCGTCTTCTGTATCATCAATCGACTGCAAATGCTTGACTTGGCTTGCTCGGCTGAGACGAACACCACACCCACCACCCCTGTCCTTTCGCTCTCTCCTAGCTTGCAAGTGCAGGTGGCTGCGACGACGGCGGACGACGACAAGACTCAATGCATGCTGGTTCTGGTCGGGCTCGCCTACCTTGCTCAAGTCGCGTCAAAATCAACTACTCATGCGCTGACTGACGAACGCGCGATGACTGTTAGCAAGGCTGGCTTCGAGAACGCACGCACGCACGAGATCAATAATGGATCTCAGGTGTGTTTATCTTCTTGTTTGCTGAGTTATCCACTGAAAATCTGTAGTCGCCCTCCTCGTTGACGGTCGTTGCGAATGTACCCAGCGCTGCGGATGTTGACGACGTGCGCGCATCTCTCGTTCCTCCACATACTCATAGTGCTAACTGCTTTCACCGCTCAGTGCCGACCAAGTTTGTCGATCCCGGAGAACGCGGGCCCATGCTTGGTGGAGTTCGATGACCGAGAGGTATATATCCAATTCGGTCTGTTCGTACTCGAGATCTCACCGTGCATACAGTTTCTGGCGTCTTCATCCATGCCACGCATCGTCGAGCTCACGAGCAGTGATTCAGACCTGGGTGAGAGCTCAGAGGAGGTCGATAATATCCAGGTACGTTCTCGCACTGTCGTAGCTGGTTCTTGCTGATGGTCTCACCAGTCCATGCCTTCCGAGTTCCATCATCCTCCGGCTAGCAAGAGCGAGGCGAGGATTGCTGCTGAAGAGGTAGGACATTGGGCTCCTTACTCCCTTTCGTCGATGCTCATGCCCAACCAGTCACAGCAAGCTGCCATCGCGCCTGCTTTGACTGCGCCGTTTGCGGTCCTCCAGCCTACCACTATACACCTCAATACTCTCACCCGAACACCAATCGCGCCTTCACCGACGATTAGGCCCCCTCGAAGCCCAGTCAAATCGCGTCTGCCTGTTCCGATCGCCCAGAAGCAAGGGAACGATCCGATGACTGGTCGCGTCCGCAAGCCTCAGATCCTGCGACAGACTGCTTACACTCGAGGTCTTGCGCTAGCAAACCCATCCCGCATCCCCTTGGCGTCATCTCAGTGTCAGCCGAGTGTGATCTATGCAACGTCTCGCCTTCCCAGTATTCAAACTCCTCGTCCGTACGCCAGTCGAGTTCCTGCGCCAGCAGACACATTTGCGTCACGCTTCGTGCAAACTCAGGCTCAGCCGAGTGTGATCTACTCGACAGCTCGTCCGACCGGCATCCAGACACCCCGCTCATATGCATACATCCTGGGACCGACGCAATCACCCAACCAATCCCTGGCTTCCCTACGGCCCACCCACCATATAAACCACCACCCCCGGGCCGGGGCCTGGCGGGCTTGACGGTAGAACACATCCATTCTGATCGCGGCGGCGGTGACGAGGACGAACTGACCAATGCTTTGAACCGGAAGAATCGCATCTCGCTGCTCTGATAACCCAGCCACTGAACGCGACTGATCTCGAGTAACGTGCTCAGACGTCGCTGGCCGTGCCAAGAAGTGGGGACGCCCCTTCGCGGCACGGCGGCAATCTGGCCGCGGCGGGGCTCACGGGCCTTTGCTGCGGTGCAGAGGGTTAGGTGATGAGCGCGGCTGTGTGTTCCATGGTGCGAGCTTGGGAGGGGAGTCTTTGTCTGTCTGTCGTCCGCGCGGAAATCAACTACTGCTACTTTTTCGGTCTCGGTCTCGGTCTCGGTCTCGGTCTCTCTGTGATCTCTCTTGGATTCGGTTCTGCTTCATCTTGGATTTGCTTCATCTTGGATTTGCTTCATCTTGATTTGGACGACTCTCTCTCTCTCCCTCATAGATTCCCTCTGTAGATCAGAGTTGTGCTTCATATTTTGCTCGTAGAATGAATTCCTTTTCCACCTGTCGGCCGGCGTCCTTCCGTCGTGAGAGGAAAACGGCCTAGACTCGCTCGGGTCCTTCCCGCCCTCAGCGCTAGGACGAATGATCCCGGTAGGTCTGGAGTGGTTCTTCTTTCAACTTGCAAATTTCCGAGGTCCGAACCGGCGTAACGGCGTCGCTTATGCTTAGTCGAGTGGACTGGCGCAGATGGTATGGTATTGGGGCAAACAAAAGCAGCAGGGCAGGGATGCAATCGAGCCCGATAGACTTGCGAGTGCCGGCTGTTCGGAGTATGCGGGTCGGCGCCTGCGGTTTTGGCTGGATCATTCATTCAAATGCCTACCCGGGCGGACCACGCCTCGTAACTTAGAGCGCCAATTGCTAGCACCGACGACTGAAAACAGACGGTAAAGTTACGACTAAAGCATGGATCACGAGCATCAGAAAAAGACCATCTTTGCCGATGAGAGTCTAAAATTGGTTTGGGTATGCGAAACGCTGTAAGAATAGAGGCCGGGAGAGCACGGCATTGACGCCGCGGTGGGAACTCGAGATTGCATGCATATCGCTGTTGGGGCAAATGGCTCAGTAGGATCGCTCGATGTTCGAGTCTTACAGTAGTCCGCTTCCGTCAACAGTATTCCTTCTGGCAGCCACAAATCCACACAACAATTACGATGGCTTGCAAGTGAAGTCGATCAAGAAAGACAAGTTACAGATCACCATCGAGAATCGAGGCCGATCATGCCATCGCCTTGTCATCTTGAAACAAGATGTGACGCGCGTGACCGTAACTGAGATCTGACAAGTCAGCGGCCCCAACGGGATCCTCTTGCTTCAGCACTTCCATCTCGCTGAGCTCGCCGTCTCTGCCTCCGCCGCCGCCGCACGCACATCCGTAGCTGTCGTCGCCGCCGCATCGCTGGTCCTCGTCACTGTTCTTTGCTAGACCGGCCGGCCCGCTGGTCTCGTCTAGAAACTGATTTGCAAGCCCTTCCTCCCGCGGTCGGCTTTCGTTATTGTTTCTAGCCCAGAGCCCTAGTCGGTTCATCCAGACTCGAAGTCCTTCACCCACAGGCATTCAGTACATACTTTTGTACATTGCGCCTGCTCGACACCCTACCCAACCCGCTCCTACTTGCGTCCTCACTACACCTGTGATCTAGTATCATCAACTTCATCTTTCACTTGACATCATCATCATGAGTCTTCGGCCCCCTTCCAGTCCCAGCCCGTCTCCTGGACCAGAGAACGGCAAGCAGCATGCGCGCCAGTCCCTAGGACCTTCTGCACGTGGCACGCCCATGGCGCCTGGTTCCCCCCGTTTGGGCGGGACTGGCACCCGGCCTACTAGCGAGCTGGTAGGCTCTGCGGGAATGTATCAAACACCAGAAGGTCGGTTTCTTTGTTCCCTGCTCCCTGTCATCGCTTACCCTTCTTCAGCCGAGGCCCTCGACCAATGGTTCGAGAACTTACAAAACTATGAGGCCACGCTTGAAGATATGGCCGCTGCGTCCCTGGACGCCAATTTTAAGGAGGAACTCAGCGCTATTGAGCAATGTACGTTGTGCTCCACATTGCTTCTTTCTCGTCCTAAGATTATCTTCTAGGGTTCAAAGTACTTTCAGAAGCAGAGCGCACAGCCGCTCTTTACAGTCTTCTCCAGCATTCGACTCAAGTTCAGATTCGATTCTTCATCACCGTGTTGCAGCAGATGGCGCGCTCGGATCCCATGACAGCTTTGCTCAGTCCTGCCGTGGGTGGCTCAATGCAGGCCCAAATGGAGGCCAAATTGGCGAGTCTCAAGTCCCCGGGCCTCAAATCCGGCTTGCCGCAGTCGCCTACTGCGCGGTCATTCAACCCGTCGAGCCCTGCCGCGAACCGCCAATCGCTTATCGAGACTCCGAACAACTATCTTTCCCCGGACTCTGCTGTGCTCGGTCAAAGCCAGGAGGCGGCGAACACGCTTGCGCAGCAGCGCGCCAAGCTCAAGGCTGCGAATGCAGCCCATCGTATCTCCGCACCCATCATGCCCACGACTAGTGGTAGCAACACATGGGGTGCTGGCGGCCTGGGTCAGGTCGTCGAGACCACGGCCCGAGCACCGTCGCCGTCCGCTGAAGAAGTGTCGTCACGGCCGAAGAGCACCGAGTTTACTAGCACACGTGCACCGGTTGCTGCGCAGGAAGCGTCGTTGCCGTCCCATGCCGCGAGCGAGAGTTGGGCCAGCATGGTGACAACTCCGCTGCCGATGTTTGCGAAGACTGAGCCGAAGGAACCATCCGGTCAGGCCGAGTGGCGGGTGAGTCGATTAGTGCCGTTTCGTTCATTCCAGCCTAACAACGATAGACCCCGGGTGGTCCCGCCATTCCCGGTGTCCCTCGGATGGGTGACCCCACGATTCATCGCCGCGGCGCTCGACAGACACCAGAATCAAACAATTTCGATGACAATGCAGGCAATTTCGGAGCACGTGGCAACGGACGCTGGAATGCCACGAGCCCATCTTCGAACCGGTTCGGAAGTGACGATGGCTCGAACCCTGGCGGCGGAAGCAACAACGGACGGAGCAATAATGGAATGGGCCCGCTCGGCATGGGTGGATTCGGTATGGGAATGGGAATGAACGGCGCCGGCGCAATGGGTGGAATGAATCCATTCGGGGTGAACATGAACATGCTTGCGATGGGCATTTCCCCCGAGACGCAGCTGCTTGCGGCGCAGATGGCCCAAGCGCAGATGGCCGCTGCAGCCAGCGGTGGTGCATTTGGGATGGGCGGTGCTGGCTGGCTTGGCATGCAGGGCCAGGGCATGCATCCTGGCGGGATGAACCGGATGATGCGGCCTCCCAGTGCTCGTACACCCAAGACCGCCAGTACGATAGGCAGCTCTAACGGAATGGGAGGAGGAGCGCTGAAAGGGGATGAGGACGTTGACCCGGCTTTGCTGACGGATATTCCGGCCTGGCTGCGCAGTCTCCGGTTGCACAAGTACACCCCCAACTTCGAAGGCGCGAACTGGAAGGACATGGTCATGATGGACGAGGCTGCGCTCGAGGCCAAGGGCGTCGCTGCGCTGGGGGCGCGGAGAAAGATGCTGAAGACTTTCGAGATTGTCCGCAAGAAGATGGGCATTGAGGGCGGCCCGCCGATGAGCGCCGACGCGTAATCGCGTGGCCAGCCAAAATTATATATACCCTCTGCTCGCGCAAATCTGATTTGCCTCTCGTTACTGTCTCGTATCTATTTCACACATGCCTCCACTCCCTACCTTCTGCTCCTTTTCTTCCTAGTACGATCACGACCTGACGAAGTTCTCCTCTCGGTTGTATATACATTTGAATCCTGACTACCTTTTTTTCTGCGACTGCAGTGTGATGTGGAAAGCATTGATCGCTCGTCACACTTGTGACCCGCTCTCCCTTACTTTTTTCTCCGAGATGGCTAAGGATACCCTCATCGACGAACACGTCTCTGCCAAGCAGTGCAAACTGGCTATCAACGCTCTTCATTCCAATGTATCGAAATTCGAAGAGAAAAGGAACGAGAAGGACCTCTTACCAGGGAAAGAGCAACATGTCTGGCTCAATGTGTCCGTAAAGAAGATTGCATCGGCGCATACATTCAAGCCCATGAAAATGTAGCGTCTATGCACTCAATGCCTCCAGTCCAATGTGCTGATTGCTCGACAAGACCCATCGTTCACCCGCTCGTCGATCCGCGCGTATCCAGCGTATGCCTGATCACGAAAGACCCGCAACGCAAGTACAAGGATCTACTCGAAGAGAACAACGTCAAGTTCGTGTCGCGGGTCGTGGGCATCGAGAAGCTCAAGGGCAAATTCGCCCCGTACGAGGCACGACGCCTACTCTTGAAGGAGAATGACCTGTTTTTGGCGGACGAGCGCATTGTCCCGTTGCTTCCAAAGTTACTGGGCAAAAAATGGTTCGAGGCAAAGAAGTATGTGTGCACCGTGGCTCAAACGGAGTGAATGACTGATCGGTCGATAGACAACCTATTCCCGTCAACATCACGCGTAAAGACATCAAGGGCGAGCTAGAACGCGCCATCTCTTCAACGTATATGAACCAAAATCAGGGGACTTGCTCGTATGCCGGATGGTCACTTGTTCTTATTCACTCTCGTACTCACGGATCTCATGCAGGTCTATCAAAATTGGCAAGATCTCCCAAACACCCGCGCAGATCTTCGCCAACCTTGAGGTGGCGCTGCCTGCCATCGTCGCCCGTATCAAGGGTGGATGGGACAACATCCAGAGCCTGCTGCTCAAAACCAACTCAAGTGCGGGGCTTCCGTTGTGGTCGTGTGATCTCGGAGACGGGACGAGTGGTCGGTGGAACGGGCTCGTTGCTCAGGATGAAGACGAGGGAAGCGTTGCAGTGGAGGCGTCATCTGACGAGATGGAGGTTGTTGAAGAGCAGAAGGCCAAGGGCAAGGGCAAAGGGAAAAAGCGCGCTGCCGAGGAGGACGAGGGCAACGCAGTAGCACCGCCCAGTGCCAAGAAAAAAAGCAAAGTGACAGCTGGTGTCGCTCAGATCTCAGCTCCAGTACCATCACCCAAACCGGAATCGGTCTCAAAACTCTCTGCCAAGCCAGCGAGCTCGAAACTCTCCGCGCCGCCGACGCCTGATACACCGAAGGCCACCAAATCGAAGCCAAAATCCAAGCCAGAGACCGCCTCTCCGGCTGCGGCCAAGAAGTCTCGAAAGCCGGAAAAGTACTTTGCTGCTCAAACGGTAGAAATCGCCTCTCTACTACCGGCCAAGGAGGAGCCTACCAAGATCGCCGATCCATCTCGCAAAGTGCAAAAGAAATCTGCTGACATCGTGTCCACGACGCCCAAGAAGGAGAAGAAATCCTCTTCTGTTGAGTCCAAGAAAGAATCCAAAAAGGAGAAGACAGCGGCAAAGACGACACCGACGGAAGCTCCCCAGCCCAAGTCCGCATTGATATCCAACGACGAACTGAAGGCAAAGCGAGCGGGCAAGCCTGGGGAGAAGAAGAAGGAAAAGGTGGTCTCATTCAGGGGTGGCAAGAGCGCAAAGGCGGGATTGATTGGAAAGAAGGCTGGGCAGTAAACCGCGGACGTCTTCCGCATGTAGTCGTGCAGTATCTACCCAATGAGTGTGATCTACTTTCCTATTTTGTCCATCAGGTGTTTATTTGGTCGCGAACAAATACTCCGGCGTCTTCAGTTCCCGCAATGTGTGTTTTCTTCTCGTCTGGCGCCCTCATCCATGACGGACCGCCTGTCGACAAAGGTGGTCATCCCCCATCCGGTAGCGCCCGACTGTCCTATCACGGGTATACTCGAACAATTAGATGGTCCCACCTCGAGTCCAGGCCCGCGCAAGATCACATTGGTGTGTTTCGACCGGCATGCATTCAAATCTACACGTTTTTGATAACTTTATTAGATTCTCCATGGGTCTATGGGGTGAGCCACTCACCGCTTCACGCCCATATCAGGGCCCATACACCATCCCTTTAACAACCATCGCGTCAGGCACAAGGACTATCTGTTTCAACGACGCTTAGCGAAGAGACTTCCCCAAGACAACTTTAGATTCGATTTCCGGTCTCTATTCTCACCGCTTCCGTGGTATCCCTGCTCACGCGGCCGCTACACAGGGGAAATCATGAAACTCCAGGGACGTGGAAGTACGGAAGTTTTGAGGAGGACGTGGACGACCTGAAGATCGTGGTGGAGCATCTGCGGCAAATGGGTTATGTTGTTTCAGCGCTTGTCGGTCATTCCCGGGGCAGCATCGTTGCGTTCCGGTGGCTCTGCACGGCACCCGAGGCGCGCCATGTGACGGCTTTCGTGAATGTATCTGGGCGGTACCGCATGGTGCGTATCACTCCCATGCCCGGTCCCATTGAATTGACGCTCTTTCATTATGCATAGCACAAGGTTCTCGGTTAGTCTCGCTTTTGCTGTGCCGATGTGCATCAGCGCTGATCAGCGCGCAGACAGACCTGCCATGAAAGTTTGGAAGGATGGATTCGAGAAGGATGGGTACTTTGATCTACATGCCACGGTCGCAAGAAAGCCATTCACGACACGCATCACTGCGGCGGAGGTCGCGAAGTTCATCGCCTGGGACTCCTCTTTGATCTGGGACCGATTCCCCACTCGAATTCACGTTCTCACGCTCCATGGGCTTTCTGATGAAGTTGTACCTCCGTAAGCTTGTTCCGCAGCTAACGAAATGTGCCTGACCTCAGATTAGCTATGACGCGCACATCATTGCCCGTGCTCTTGGTGGTCGCTCGCCCGGGACGCACACGCTGCATATGGTCGAAGACGCGGATCACAACTTCTCGGGACGGCAAGACGAAGTTGTGGACTACATTCTGCAGTGGTGGGGACTATGCGAGCGCCAGGAGCTTGTGTCCTCGGGGGTATGGATGACTGGCGTCCGAGGCAAGCTGTAATATGGATTGGTACAAGCTCAAACTCGATCATACGGGTGCTTTTATTACGGGATACGGTGCGCCTGCTACGTTCGTGCCCTGCCGTAGTGGCTCTAGCATAATGATATGATACAGTAATGTTGTATGCCTTTCCGTGGTCTACAAGAAAAGAAGGGTTCAGAGTCCAAGATGAACGTCATTAATGCTCCGTCCGTCCAAATCGAGTGCCAAGACGGGTGAAGAGTGGGGTTGCGAGTGCGAAGCGGGTGATTAGGTGCGTCCACCAGTGACACTGGTCGGTGAACGTGCTGATTAGGGTGCAGAATTAACGCGTTCGACGCGTTCTATAGTGTGTGTAAGGGGTATGGGCCACGAACAGTGGGTGGGCGCGCGTGGGCAGTGGAGTGTCGCGCTCAGAAGAAAGTCGCGCCAGTCGAGGACGCCCCGCCTTTGACTCCCTGTCCCGATCCCTGTCCCGAGGACGATGACGGTTTCGTTCCGTTCGATGAGTTTCCTGCCATGGATGGGTAGTGTAGTGTAGTGTAGTGTAGTGTGTGCTGTGGGGGACTCTAGGACTGCCAAGTGGTCTTGGATCCGGTGGTGGATGTCAATGGGAGGAGTGGCTTGTCAGCAGTTCCAACGCGAGCGCGCTTTTATATCTAAATGCATCGGGGTGGCTCGGCACGAACCATTACTATTTTCTGACTCAATCTAGAATGACTTGCCGCCGCACTCGTAAGCATCGTGCCCAATGACAGTGAGAAAACTCGATCTGATATCGGACTTGCTTCTTGGATTCCGGTGGTTTCAAACTTTTTCGACCACAGGGGAATTGATAGCAGCGCTTGTGGATATGCTATGCCTGGCCGACACCTCGGACCTAGCGCCCGTAGTGGTGACGATTCGGCAGAATGAAACAAATGCTACCAACTCCAGGCACAACACAAACTCTTGCGATAATGGTGTGGCATAGCCTCTGTCCGAAATCGCCGTTTCCAGCGGGATCCACAACGACTGTCGGACAGAGATCGATTCCGTGGCGGAGATCTTTCGAATTCCATTTTCTTGCTTGTAGACATCCGCAGCACAGCCATTGTCCCCTTGGCTGCTGCGATGTCTACCCAGTTGGGGTTGGCCCAGGATGGAGTTTGGGAACAGCAGACGAGGAGCCTGGGGTTTTCGAGGGAAGGCTGAGGAAAGCCCTCGGTCTGCAAAGGTACGCGGGAGCACCGGTGTCATCCAATTTTAGCTGACGGATTGCTCTCGAAGCGAAAAGGATGTTCAGCAGTCGAGACAAGCCCGCCCCTTTCTGCGCAAAGACTGGCAAGAAATTTCATACAAGGGCGGCGGTAGAGCCGAAAGCGGACGACAATCCCTGTCGCGCCGAAGATTGAGCTTGTGGATCAGAGATACCCAGGGCTCACAGCTCACGGCAAGCTTCGATGTCATCTGCGGGTGGCTGGCGGATTGTTCGTTTGGACTCTCTCCCGCGACTGGTACCAGTTCGCCGCGAAATGCAGGACAAACGCCATCATCTCCAGTCCCGAACAAAGATGTGGACTACGAACAAGTTGGCCGGCGCCATGACTGACGGTTGGACGTGCGCAGCGTTGAGAAGGCAGGCACTCCGCATGCACATACTCACCCCTCCCAGCGCTAACACCGACGCCGCGGTGGCGGACAGTGTTTGACTGGCGTTGGGTGATGAATTCACAGCTCTTATTCTCTTATTCTGACAGCAGAGAACACCTGGGTGCACTCGGGAAAATGGGGTCTCTGAGAGAGATGAGAAAAACCGGCAGAAAGTCTCCGTGCAAGTGACCACATGCGGCCCTAAGAATGCGGTCACGCGACTCAGGTCGTCGACCTTGGCGCGCGGGCATCAGAGACACGCGCTTCGAATTTGGACAGAAGGATCGAGCTTTCCTGTGCCTTCAATGAGCGGCAGACATCGAACAGCAGCGGAAGGACAATGCGCCATGCGGTGTCGACCAAAAGCTATCTACGTCCTGCAATTATGAAACGCCACCGCTGAAGGGAAGATCGGAGTGGCGGCCGTCTTCGCGAACGAGGCGGCGTTCAGTCTGAGATGAACGGGCCTCGAGGTGCAACTATTTTCGTGCACCGCTACTAAAATTACAATATGGATTGTGATTGTACTGCTCAATTGATTTCGGCAATGATCTTTCCACTGCTAAGGTTTGAGTACGGACCGTGCATATTGATAGACCCTTAGAACTTACGAGTTACCATTGGCTTCCATCTCGCGGTGCGCATCCTGAATCTTATCCCAGGGATAGACCTGAGGGCGATGAGACCAATACCGACACAGGGAAGACACAGATCGCGGACCTTGTGAATGAACGTTGTTATTTTTCCGTCACCCTCCTTGCCGCTGATATGATCCAGAATGTCGTTACTGAACCTGCAAATTAAAGCGTGAGAGGCGAGTATCTCAGTAAATCTAGGACTCCACCTCGCGATGAGATCTGCCTGGTATGCCGGCGAGCGAGAGCGGAGAGTGGAGCCTTGGATGCGCAGCCGCTTGAATAGGATGGGTCCGAGATTCACGCTCGGAACCGTGGCTCCTGATGAGCATTTCAGTGACCCATTTGTCAAGGTCACAAGGGCTTACCGCTCAGCATCGCCAGCATGACCATCGTTCCATCAACAGCTAGCGAATCAATATTTTTCGTAAAATGGGTTTGTCCGCTGCACATGACCTCAGACGACGGGAGACGGGAGCAGAAGGATTCTGACGCACACAAAATCGACGACTACGTTGACGCCCTTGCCCTGGGTCGCTTCTTTGACGACTTGCGAGAAATCCTCATTTTTGTAATTGGCCGTCGCAGTCGCTCCGTTGGACAAGGAGCGGAGCCAATCCAGCTTTTCTTTCGTCGACGCGGTGGCGATGACGTTCTTCCTGGGCTCGTGTAAGCAACGCGAGATCAGGTTTTGTGAGCAATCGACGCACGCTCCGATGAAACGGCCCAACTGAATAGCGGCCAGACCCACACCTGTTTCCGAGTGTGAAGCGGCCGATAGCCAGGGATGGGATCCCTACCTGACGCCCCGGCGTGAACAAGTAAGCCTCCGTCGGGCTTGAGATCGCCGAGTAAAACGACCGCCTGGAATGCTATGCACCGTGAACTGACGGCCGCTCTGATAGCGCGCACTTAAGGCATACCCGTAAGGAAAGCTTCCGGGATGCTTGCCGCCTCGGTCCATGACAATCGGGACGGCTTCGGAACAACATGTGTGTCCAGCGAGACGATGTATTCCGCGTAGGCACCCTGAGGGCCCCCGTTTGAGTAGCCGATCGCGCAAAGAAGCTCGGACATACGCCTCCAGCGAGGCCCATAACCTCGTCGCCCACTTGCCATTTCGTCACGCCCGGTCCCACGGCGGAGATCGTCCCAGCGAATTCGACACCGAGGATGGTCGATGATCCGGCGGGCGGAGGGTATTGGCCTTGGCGCTGCATGATGTCCATGCGATTGAGCCCGAAGGCTTTCACCTGCGGGGCTGGATTTGCACGGCTGTGCGATTAGATTGGCCCGCCCGCCCACGCACCTTGACAAGCACCTCGTGGTCCTTCGCGATTGGCGTCTCGACCTCGCCAATGTACAGGTCATCGGGGGTCTGTCCCTTGTCTTTGACCAAAACGGCGCGCATCTTGGGAGGTGGGTGGGAGGATTGCTAATGGTATGACGAACAGTCGGCAGTGCGATGACCCTATCCTAGGCGTCCGGACCTCGGCTGTCAGTGTCCCGACACCGGAACTCGCCGTGGCTGAAGAAAGGACACACAACCAGCCCTTGCTTGGCTACAGAAGGGCAAGAGCTGAGGATAAAATCATCACTCGTTGTCTCGGGGAGGAAAGCGCCCCGATTACAAGCTGGATAGTGAGCCGCGACGGCAGAGTACACACTCTAGTGCACTTGCTCGCTTCCTGGGTAAAGTCACGTGGATCATCCCCTCATAAACGTTACTGTCACGCGGTTACGACGCCAATTTCTTTTCGTTCTTCCTTTCAAATACTCAACGCAAATCCAAGCTCTGGTGAGAGGTCTTTCCCACTCGATGTCCTCCGTGTATACCCCCCTGCCTATCCATCGTGATGACCCATGCTATGGTCCGTGTTTCCAAGAAGCGACTAGACACCGCTGCTTCAGTATGCCGACAACTTTTTTGCCTAGCACTCTGATCCTTTCTTCCTCCCATTCCTTGCACTACGTGTTCCTTATACTGACGACTTCTTTGGCTCTGCAGGTCTTTGCTTGGAGTTGCTCGTGCTCGCTGGTAGGGAACGTGGTGGATGTCGTGCGTCATGGCTGCGTTTAGGGTTCCCTGGGGTCTATCCCTGCGCCATACGTTCTATGCCCAGCGTGTGTATATCACATGTATGTAAAATCTCTTGTAGATGTTCGCTCGGATGTATGCATAGTTGCTTCACCCTGGGCACGTTGCTCCCTGTGGCATATTCGGAAAAAGAAACTCTCGCGAGGCGGGACGCAAGATCGTCGTTCCTTCACTTGGCCGTGCGCCGTCCATTCGTGCCTCTACTTGCCAGGTGTTTTTCTGTTCTAGCCGAAGACCCGGACAGCGGATGTGGCCGTGGAGGGACACCGCCAGACGGCTGGTGAAAGTGATCCTCAGGCTCATGCGTCAATGAACCTGAATGTGCCGCTGTAGGTTGGTGGCGGCGGTCTTCCATTTGGTCATAATGGCAGCGGCTTTGCTTACGCTGGGCGCAAACTGCCAAACCACTTTCGACCCGCACTTCAGTGTAGCCCCCTCCCGGCCCGCATGCTCCGGCGCGTCGCGGTAACGTGACCTGCGATGGGAATTTTCATTCATGTCATTGATAATCGTGATCATTCACACAATTCGCGCCCTGCTATTTACGTTAATTTTCGGCGCTTCTTGAGTGGTTATTCAGAACCACGAAAGTTTCGCACTACCCGGATGAGAGACAAATTGTGAAGTGAGCGATCGAAGCTGCTCCTAGTGCTCACGTGGCGTCATCGAATGCGTCAGCGTCACGGTCAGCTGAGTTGGGCGGCGCATCTTAGTCCTGACCAACACCACCTCCACCACCCACTTACTCTGTTGAGATGGTGAGATGTCTACCATGCTATGAATCTGGACAAACGATGAACCCTCCGCCATGCAGGACCCAAAACCTCAGCTGCCTGCTGAAACGATCGAGTTCGCCCACCGGATGTTCGACGCAGCGAGGTCCGGAAATTCCGAAGTTCTAGTTGCCGCCCTCGACGCCGGGCTTCCTACAAACATCCTCAACGAAAAAGGTGAGGTCCTCTCGCTGCGGTGGCGTTGATCTCTCGAGTGACAACGCTCCCAGGCAACAGTCTGCTGATGCTCGCGTCCTACGCCGGCCACACCGATCTCACGAAACAGCTGCTTGATCGCGGCGCAGATCCAAACGTGCTCAACGATCTGGGGCAATCGATGATCGCCGGGGCAGTGTTCAAAGCACACGACGATGTAGTCCGACTGTTGGCCGATCGCGGTGCCGATCCGCGCCTGGGAAAGCCGACCGCGATCCAGACGGCGCATATGTTCGGACGAACGCATCTGATGGGCGTCCTCGGGGCGAAGGACGGAGATATCGGGCCTGAGGTGCCTGCGCCGGTGTCCCAAGCGGGAAGCGGCGGTTCTACAGCGTAGGATGCGATCACGTTCGACTGAAAAAATCAAATTGTACTCTGGGTCATCATCTCTGTTGTCTTCACCCCAAAGTTGGGATCAGACGCCGCCGACAAAAATCACACAGGAAAGTTTGCAGTCTGACGGATTCTGGACATGTGACAGTCGCTGCCCGTCTCCGACTGGAAGGCGCCGACTATGTGCTTACCCAACAGAAGTGCGGGCCAAATGGCAGCTGTCAGGAGCTGCTTCGTCTCGAGTGCACTTGAGCACGACTAAATCACGCCAACGGCTCCATTATTATCGAGTCAAGAACTCAAGTGTAGGTAGGCTAAATTTCTTGTAGCATGACGTCACAATGCAACGAAGAGGCAGACATATACATATTTATATTGTGAGTATTGGACAAAAGATGAGTGGTGGTGGTATACTGCCCTGTTGTCTGGTCACGCCCTTCTCCGATGCGGGGGATATCCATGCGGGGCCAACACCAGAGTGGGCCACAGCAACGGCTGAGTCTGTTTGGGACATGCGAAGAAGAAAATGGTCGGAGACCCGGAATCAAGTGGCCCAGTACGGCGATGGAGGTCCAACCGTCTGGCCCACGCGCTCGATGACAGGGAGAATCGGACACTGCACACGCGCTCAACATCTGGCCATGCTCGTGGTCCGTCACGAGCGGAAGAGGGTTGGCACTTACCTCCTCCGTGATTCGCACCATGGCCTGCAGCGGGATCGGCAAAGAGGGCCCATTTCGAGGCAAGGCTGGCCCAGTGTTCCAGAATCGGCCGGCTCCGACAACGGATGCTCCGATCCATTGGCCGCGTGGGACGGCCTGCACCGACGGGCCTCCAGGAAGTACGAAGACGGGAAGTATGGAGCGCCGCTGCCTACTGCCCCGGCTTCTCCAAGCGCTCAAGATGGCTTCGAAAATAAATAAGGCCGCTACTGTGAAGAGCGTATAGCCCTTGTCAGTAAGAACGGCCTGGGAGAAGTGGTTCGAATTGCGTACCGGGCAAAGTCAAGAACGCCAAAGTGGCGATAAGCAAAATTACAGCATTCTCCATGTTTGATGCTGCTGGTCGGTAGATTGATTATGACGAGGGAGACTACCCGCGCCGTATAAATTGCGTCACAGCTGAGGAGAGCAAACCAGCCGTCGACACGAACACGACGACTTTATAAAGCATGTCAGTAAAGCGCCTAGGCAGTGCTACCGGATCATGCTGTATGCTGCTGTATCCGGCTGTAGCCTCTGTTTACAGCTCTTCTTCCATCTCGCTGCATACCAAGAGCACACTGGCTCGCAAATGTCGTCACTTGCTCCGCAGAGGCTTCACCTCAGACAGCATTGCACACCTTGTGCTGTAGGAAATGCATAGCAATAGGGCAGTGGACTGATGCTGTTTGGTCATATGCTTTTGGTCAGTCAGGCGCTTGAGTTGCAGACAGCCTCGTTTAAGTCAGAAGGTGCCGTAATGTATTCCAATCGATCTCTAGATCAGAAACCTTCTTCCTCTACCGTCACACTCACTCCCAGGATGTAGCAGCGACACTCTGTTACGATCATCCTCTGTCGGCCTGCAACAAGCTCCGACCATTCTTGACCCCCGCACTGGTATCCACACGAGGAGTCTGATGATGTCAATACAAAAATCAAATGAGTAACAGAAATAATACAGTAGGCTTGACCACGTGAGTCGTTATTCAAGAGGGCGAAACTAAAAAAAAAAACCAAGTTGCCTTTACAGTGCGATGGGCGTTCAGTAGGTCACGTGCTGATCTGACTCATGCACTGATCAATCATTGAAATGAAGCAGCGCTTGGGTCATGCTATCGCTGTAACCCGACTTCTCGAGCGTTCGCCACTGCCAAAGCTATAGGTGTCTATCTCTGCCTATCCACGTATGACTCATTGCAAATTTATTTCTGAGTGTTACATCCCTGAGCACGGTTGCTTCTCCCGTGTGCTGTCCGGGATGTATGGCGGGACGTTTTATCTTCCGACGTCATTCTCGGATATCTATGGCTAGCCCCACGCGTCTTCGAAATGGAGATAATGATTTTATGAGCTGATGTCTGCGGCAGTTGCTATATGCGGGAAACAAACGGCCAAGTCTGTTTCTAGCCCACGATCAACTGCGGAATTGCGGGATACTGTACGTCGCTGTCGAGCATGTATTTCGTACATCAGGAAACACTCAGAGTTTATCACATCACTGCGAGTTTGTGGGTCTGATAGCTCTCGCTCTGACCCCCTGGTCCAACCTGGACTCACGCTCATGAAAACATGCCCTTGAGCTTCCTCCGGGATACGTGTAACGGAATAGAGAAAGCAGACTTGGTTTATGCTGCTGATGATTAAATTCCGTCGAACGACTTCCTGGGTTGGATAAGTTGGGCTGACGCTGGGTTCAAATCACGAGAGGATGGCTGTGCACAGCAGTATCCATCAATCACGGGCTTCCGTGACTCTCATGGTCACCTGGGCTCAGCATGTCGCGCCGTGGATGGCTGCCTCCGGAAGGAGACGTCCAGTCCTCTTCGTCATTCTAGTGGGGATTGTTGTCATATTTCTCCTTCTTACCCCACCGAAGACCGAGGCCGTTCTTCCGACGCCTGCCCCCATTTCAGCCGAAGCAGCCTCGACTATCGTTCAGTCTGAACCAGATCGGGTCGTACTTCCCGCTGACGACGCCACGCCTTCCGGCCCCGTTCTCAAACTTCCTGGGCCTCCTACATATGCCTCGCTTCGGAAATGGGAGGACAACCTTCCTCAGCATGACTTGGACTTGCCGTATCCCGAAGGCAAAAGTGGTCGCTACGTCAAGTTCTCGAATGAGATGAAGTTGGTGGGCTGGAATAATTGTCTAAACGAGAGGTGAGGCCTTTCTCGCCTCCCTGAACTTGACCGATAACCTCGACACAGGTTGATGAACGCCCATCTGGCCTATATTTCCGGGCGCGCATATGTCTTTTCGGACTACATGTGGGCCTGGGAACACTACGCTTGGCCCCATGAGCAGCATCCCCCGGGCGGCCCTCGTACACCGCTCAACGCCATCGTCTCTGGTCCCATGGCCGGCGGACCCTGGGCATCTGATGATCCCGCACCGCGCTCGATCTCAGCCAAGTGGTTCGATGTCGTCTGTCCCCTTTCTGAGCGACGACTGCTCAACACGACGGAGGTCAAACCCTTCGTCCTGTCCAAACCTGGGATCGAGGTGCTTGACAGATGGGCACAGGTGTTGCGGGATGCGCCCGAGCGGTGCATAGAGGTCATCGCACCTCCTGAAGACGTGGATGACAAGCCCCAGGTGTTCGATTTATGGCTTTGGGGCAACTCCCGAGTCCTTTCGTTGTGGGATCCATTTTCGAAATCGCCAACCTCTCGTCTTTTGGGCCCATCGCCGCTAGTGCAAAGTGCGATCGACCGCAACTTGTACTTGTTTCTGCCCCATGGCCCCCAGCACGGGCATCCTCACTACCCGTCTCCTTCATACGGCCCCCGAGATCCATTCGATCGCATGCTCGCGGTGCACATTCGTCGTGGGGACTATGTCAATCACTGCGAGAATCTCGCGAATTGGGGAAGCACCTACTACAGCTGGGCTCTGCTCCCATCCCTTGTCGACCACTTCATCCCACCGCCCGCGGGTGATCCTAATCGAGTCGACAAGGTTCTGAAACACTGCCTTCCGAGTCTGGAACAGTTTCTGCAGCGGATCCACGACGTGCGCGAGGAATACCTAGCTTCACCCAAAAAGCTGCGCGGCGAGAGCCGCGTGCTGGACGTCCTCTACCTGCTCACAAATGAGCACGGGCCGTGGATAGAAGAACTCGAAGCTGCGGTCAAGAACGTTGGCTGGAACACTGTGGTCAGCACGCGCGATTTGACGCTGGATGTGGAGCAGGAGGATGTCAGCATGGCGATAGACATGCAGATTGCCCGACGGGCAGCCGTCTTCCTGGGGAATGGATGGTCGTCCTTTACAAGCAATATCATCCACCAGAGACTTGTGGATAACCGCGAACCACTGAGCACTCGGCTCACTTGAGACTGGACTGTCCAGGTCCCAGTACGGGCATTCGCAGGCCTCTTGGTGGCACCGTGGCACGATCTTCAATGACGCGGCTACATCACTGGTCCAGGACCCATACCTCGTTATCGGCTCCTGTTTCCTTGAGATTATGCACAGCTAGTATCGTATATATGATACCACAGTCGTATACAGCATGCAAAATAACACTTTCGAAGAGTGGGCTCCAGTTCCTGCTGTGTGTGGCTATGCCATTGCCTGATAATACACGCAAGCAAACAACACCAAATCTCTCTACGTCGCCGCATCCACCTCACATCCCTCTGCTCACCCACTCGCCTGCTATCGTAGTAACCATGACCGATCTCTGCCCCGTCTATGCTCCCTTTTTCAGCGCCATGGGCTGCACGAGCGCCATTGTCTTCACCTGTGCGTCCTTTCTCCTCCTGTGTCCCGTCTTGCGCTTTCTCAATGAGCTCTATTTCTCAGGTATAGGAGCTAGGTGAGCTACTGTCCGCGCGAGGCCCGTAGCCTGCTCGTTAACAACCACCCGTCGCTCAGTTATGGGACTGCCAAGTCCGGTGTTGGTATTGCAGCAATGTCGATACTGCGGCCCGACCAGATGATGAAGTGTGTCGTCCCCGTTATTATGGCTGGTATCATTGCTGTGAGTAGCTTGCCCTATCACCCTCTCTGCAGCAGCAGCTACAGACGGGAGCCTCTGGCTCGGTGCTGACAGCCCCTCAGATCTACGGCCTGGTCGTCTCGGTGCTCATCTCCACCAACCGTATGTATCCCACCATCCTGCCGCGTTTGCATGTCTCTGAACATGCCAACAGTTGCCCCAACTATGCCTCTGGCCCAAGGTTTCGTGCAACTCGGTGCTGGTCTGTCTGTCGGTCTTGCCGGTCTTGCTGCGGGCTTTGCTATTGGCATTGTGGGAGACGCCGGTGTCCGTGGCACTGCGCAGCAACCGCGGTTGTTTGTTGGAATGGTGAGTCGTGTTACGAGTTTTTTTAAAGGATCGCCCTCCTACTCGGCCCACCACGCCGTGCATGTTTCGTATATGACGTGCGCTTTTCCACGTGAAGAAAACGTTTTCATCAGTTCTTTTGTTTGCCGCACCTTTCTCTCTTCTTCCGAATCTCTCTGGATGATTGCTGACGTCACCGCAGATTCTCATTCTCATTTTCGCTGAGGTCTTGGGACTGTATGGTGCGTTGTGTCTCGTTGCGTCCACAACTTGCCCGATGGACGTCTTTCTTGACAATGTCTGATCCCTCTGTGCAGGTCTTATCGTTGCCCTGATCATGAACACCAAGGCCGCGGCCATGTCGACTGTCGTACGTCGTCAAAGCCCAAGCTGACTTCCGTCAACTGACCCATTGTTTCGCAGTGCTAAGTGCTGACATCGATGGAACAAGCGAGCAGAGTTGTGTACATTCACCAAGTGTCCTTGCACTCTGCTTCCCGTATTGATACATAAGCCTTATTGCACGTACATGCTCGCATTCGGACCCGCGAACCAGCATAACAACATGGTTTCTCTCACTTTCCTTCTTTCCATACCTTGTCGATGTCCTAATACCGAATGCAAGGCGTTTACGCAATACTGCCTGCCACGTTGATGAGGACCAATGTGTCTGGAATCAGCAAATGCCATGATCTCATCTCTGATCTGAGCATGGCTTGGCGCATTCCCTCAAAGATGCCACTTGCTTTCAGAGGCACCTCCGTCCCGGACCTGCGTAAAGCATCCGGTCTTTTTTCTGCTTACGGTATCCAGATCCTGTGTCGCAGAGCGACTACGATGACAAGCCTGGGTCGGAGCGAAAATTACTACATCAATTTCGCTTACAGAGAACAGAATGGTTTCACGACTGTGATGCTGATAGCGTAACAATCTAGAGGAACTCATCGGAATCACTTTGAGCGGTAGAATTTCCACCGGGACGTGGCGGCTTTAGCAGGTCAGTACCAAGGTGTGTGATCATCTTTGCATTACCTCACCCCCCTGCGGTGCTTTCGGTGGGCTCTTCCCGGAAGAGACTAGTACCCCTGACGTCCTGTGCTTGGACGTCCTCGACTCGGAAAGCGCCAATATCAACGTTCAAACGGATGTCTCTTCGAGCCTCTGGTGGGGCGGATTCCAGGCAACTCTCTTGTGACTGCGCAAAAGTATACCCAGCCCAGTGTGCCCGAGATGCTGTGTCTGCTATCATCTCTCTCTCGACTGTCAAGAACATTTTTGACCCTGGGAAGCACTTGACAAAAGACAAGGACGCAGCGGCGGCTGCCTGACCTCTGCTGTTGCCCGGCTACTGTTGCGAGAAGCTCTGAGATCGCCACCACTGACTCACTCTCAAACACTTTCCGTTCTTGACCGTTGTTGGCATGTGCTCGCAGATTGACCCAAAGCGGCAACTTACTAAAAGGAATTCGCGACGTCGAATTGGAGACAACCTGACACCTTGGCATCGGCAGATAAACACGGAATATCGGTAGCACGCTCAATTCGGGCCGAATTTCGGGCCCACATGGAAGACCCATCTCATGGCGCCATTCTTGACTCCTTCGGGCGAGATTCTCAGCATGCGACAGCGTCCTGAGAGTTGCCAGGCCAGTGGGGGAAGATTTCCAAGGACCTCGGAATCAAGCCGCAGAGATGGCTTGGGCACACGTAATAGGCAACTCGAACCGCTGGACGAGAATTCCATGTCCACCTTCTTTTTCACGACGCATCCACGCCAGAATTGGTTGTCGACTGTTGGCATCTACCGGCGCTGTATGTGGTTTAAATAACTGTATGGAAGTACACCTATCACCGGAGTTTACAGCTGAGCCTCCGAGGACGAAAAACTTTCCAGAAGTGGTGAGAAAATGTGGACGGGAGGATCTGGCACTCACCGATATCAAAATGTCCAGCCTAACTTTGATGTATAACAGCTCACTTTCTGGCCAAGGACGATCGCAAGCCCCGTCCGACTCAGCTGCCCAGGCAAAGCCTGCGCTGCGCTATAAGCTCCGCCGACGAGAGACTCACAGCGCCAAGCAGACTCCCCTGGACAGAGGGTTCAAATCGAAACGCACGTGATGAGGTAGTATAAGGTTCGCTTTCTGGTGATTACCGTGAGCATCGCAGGATCTGAGCACTCATGTGCTCGACAGGCTGCGCCACAGCTGGTGACCCTCTCGCCGGCCGAAAGCTCAGTCGCAGTCCGATGTTCATCCTTCAAAAGAAAATCGGCGTCCTCTGAATGCGCCGCGTAGACCGAAGCCAGGGGGACCTTCTTCTCCCGGAAAGCTGAAACGTCCCTGCGTAGAGCAAGTGATCATTGCGGCGTTGAATTCCGCAGCCACACGCTCGGTGCAGCAGACCTGTGACCTCCGCAGGCGGAATTGATCCCGTCAAGTCTCGGTGTGCTTCAACGAATCGCCGACGACTGGAGCAGAGTGGAGTCCCAATCTCTACTGGAGCAGTCGGTTGCTCTCCAGCTCGAAAGTGATTGCTGAACGGAGATCGACGGGTTATTTAAGCGAGTCAAGTCCAAAATCCCCCCACCGAGAAATTAGATCCCAGGCGCGGGAGAAACATTGGCTTCTCTCGCACAAGGTGTGCACAAGACCCACCATAAACAATGAGAGATCCGTGGCAAGTCAGTTTCGACGGCGGCCGAGGATTCGCCCTGGCCGAGTTCTTTCTGAGCGTCTGACGGCGGTGGAACTGCACCCGATAAACCAGATGCAACGAGCGCTCGATCGTACCCTTGAGCACCGGGGGTCGACACGAGACTGGCAATGGTTGAATCAGAAACATATCGCCTTCGAAATCGTTGGAACATATTTCAGGTTGCGCTTCTCAGAGTCTGTATTGACTCAGCTCCTCCTGGGTGTGATATAATTAGAGAGACGTGCTTGCGGAAATTTGGGACCCTAATACAATTGTAGCTGGGGTTCTGCGTGAATTGTGGAAGACCCACAGCGAGCTTTGTTTGCCCCGTTCCTAGCATCAGACGAGGCGCCCCACCGGTAAGTTCCGACTGCTTGGATGGGCAATCTATGGAGATAGATACGGGGATAGGTGCCCGACTTCGACATCGCTAGGTGGAAGCGAGAAGTTGCCAAGGGCAAGCAGACCGCGACAACTTACCAACGAAACATCGTCGCTGACGGCGAGGTTCCGTGGGAGCTGAAATCCACAGCTAACGTCCATGGCTTGGCAGACGCCAACTGTGGTCGGTCAACATGCCTTACGACAGCTGCACAGGTTGCGTTGACAAGAGATTCTTGTCACGTGTGGTGGCCGAATTGATGGGCCCCTCTGGCTGATGTGTCGGGGACGTCTTTGGCGGCAAACACTTTCTGGTTGGTCCGCTGGTAGAAGTTGACGACGGGTGAAACACATCCAATTCACTAGGACATGTGGGACAGGCGCATCCCGTATGCGGGAGACTAGAACATGAAACTGCACTAATTTGGACCAGGTCTCGCCCTTGTTAGGTTTACTTAGCATCGACCGCATTGTTTATTCGTCCCTAACGGGGAAGTCTCGCCCGCCATTTTAGCACGAGGAGGGCTGACACAACCGGAGAAGTCCGTAGTGAGCCATGAACTCTCTGAGACCGCAGCCGACATAGGAGAATGCTGCCGATGGACCAGAGACCTTGACATCAAACGACGACACGAGGATCGGCTCTAAAGGTAGCCACTGGTAGACCTAGTAACTTGGCTCGGCGCCGCTACCTTGTAAACACCGAGTTTCGTGATTTGACCGAATTCCCGACATACAAGCTGCCGAAGATTTCAAATTTAAGATCGGAACTGATTCCGCGGCAGCACTGACAACTGACGTCAGGTCTGTGAGGTGAGCGGAGAACTCAGATAGTGATATGTGTTGAGCCAGCCCTGCGGGCGGGTTGTAAGTTTCAGCCTCTTGGCTCTCCGCTTTATATGACCTAGGTTCGTAAACCTTCACACGTTGTAAAGGAAAAATGGCAGCTCGCTGCCAGGCGGGCGGCCTCGCGTCATTCTCTATTTCATTGGGTCGGTTGTGAAAATCTTGGAGAGACTCTCTGGAAATAAAAACTATATATAATGCGACCGGACCTGATATTATCTCCTCTAGGTGCTGGATCGGTGCCTGTTCTCCGCTTTTTGACCGTGGGCAGAAACAGCGTCGGCATTTTGCTCGATGCCATCAGCAGAATGCGGAGCGGCACCGGAAAACACACGCCCACGAGTTTGAAGCATATCTGATCTCGGCAAATCAACAGCTCCCGGCGCTCGCCTTGCTTCCTTGAGATCTACCAGATTTTTTTTCGTTCTGCATACTCTTGACTGATACCGCTCTTTCCAAATCGAGATTATGTCTTGCGCACAATGGGGCCAGGAAGCGTGGAATCTCCGTAACGTAGTGCACGGACTCAGCCCTGAGTCCACGGCCCTTCTTTAAGATACGACTCTTTCACAAGGCGCGTCAAACACCCGTCCTTTTCCCCACTCTCCTTTCACTCGGTGCATCATCTCCCCCCCTCCACCACCCCCGCCCAGCACAAGACAGCCCACCGCTCATGTCACGTTCCACAGGCGGTCATCCCCCTGGATGTCTTTGCTCCCACTGCCATCTCAAGCTCTTCCCGCGGGGCCCCGGTGACCGCATCATACTTCCTACTCCCGGCCCTTCACCGCAAAGTCCGCAGTTCCAGCACAGGCTGCCGGCGGCACCGCCCGCTCGACCCCAATCGACTGCGCCGGGCGAGTATCGCCCTTCGCACCGTCGCGGGCACAGCCATGCCTACGGATACGCACAGGAGGCCCCACCACCAGTACCGCCACTGCCCATGGCGTCCAGAGGGTCCGGAGATGCGAGATACGGCATGGAGGCACGGGGAGGTGAGCGTTCACGTAACATCCGTGTTTGACTGTTCGGACCGGGCTCGAGCGCATGGCGGATGTCCACTGTGGCTGATCACATCGCGTTTTTTTGAATTGCGCACGCCAGCTCGTTGGCTCTATTTTCTCCCGCGTCTGCTGCTCAGATCGTTGTTTCGGCTTCGCTCACGCCTAGACTTCTAGCGCCAGTGCCCGAACCGGCGCGATATCACCAAGCCCCGCCGATTCGGCCGGCGAGTGCCATGGCTCATCATTCCCGGTCGCGGACTCAGTCCACCTCACAACCCTCGACCCAGCAGCCACATCATCAGCCAGCACCTGCAAGTTCGCAGTCCCAAACGGCCGCGCAACAGCCAGAGTGGACCGCGCCTAAACTCAAATGGGTGCAGAAAAAAGAGCGCGTGAGCCACTTCACGCCGCCGTCTCAGTACCAGGGCACGAGCTTCCGTCAGTATGTACATGAGGGAATCAGCCAGTCCACCTCCAAGAGGGGGTCCTAGAGCACTCTGGATCTAACTTATTGTTTGTTTTATTCGCATGTTATTAGACTGTAGCACCGCATGGACCGACTTGAAATGCATACATCCAGTATGACGTAGGTGGCGGCCAGCGGCCATGACTTCGAAAGCCTGATATGGATACTATGTTTCCTTCTTGGGTGGGTCCAGCGCTGCTTCCGAGTCCCCATCAACTTCTCCGGACCATAGTCGCAACTCCTCAGGTCGCGCACTCTTCGTTCTCCATGTTGTGCGCGGAATTCGCACCATTTCTTGGTGACCTCGGCAGATCATGTGTTGCGATGAGGTATTTTACGGTTATTTCTGAGTCCCGAAACTATATGTCCACGCCTTTGTCGGATTGCGGGCGCACGCTATCCCAATTGTATTACTGGGTCGAACTTTACGTTTCGAATGCAACAGCCACGTGATAATCCGGATCACATGCTCGTGTCTCGTGATCTGACTCGTTACGTGTGACGTGTGACACTCTCCACTCACTCTGCGACATATCCTTGACGATGGATCCCGACCGCAAATCCACCGTGTCCTCCTTTTATGGCGCTCGCAAAAGCTCTTACGATGCACTGAACTACGACCAAACCTCCCCCTCGCCTGCCGCCGAGATGGGTGGCCGCCCCCGAGACGACGCCTCGTCATTCTTCAATCCGCGAGGCAGCATGGACATGCTGGTGGGAAGGCCGAACAACGCCGGCTACAACCGAGCCTCTTATTTTCATGCTGGGAGGGAGGAACCGCTGAAGGGTGGACGGGACGAGGAAGAGGACGCCGCCGAAGGCGCCTGGGATGTGTATGCGGACTTTAACAATTCCGGTCCCAAATACAGTTCCGCATTCGGGAGCCAGGATCCGGCAGGGTGAGTGTGACTTTTTTGCTTCTCGTTCTGTCTGCGGGATGTTGTATCCCATGATATGGCGCAATGGGCAGACGCGGCATTCCGGGCCTTTTGATATAGTGCACTTCTCTCCGATCACCTTATCCTCTTCGATCCCGTCGGACTCACAGGAATATACCTAGATATCAATCGCTAGATGCACCAACACCAAAGACCGATGCAGGTTCTACTGCCGCCGGCGGGCCAGTGGAGATGGTGACGGTACCGGCTATGGGAGCCGAATGGGGAAAAGATGAATTGCGGGATATGACAAAGGCGGGACGTCGTGCGAAGAAGGCAGAAAAGCGTCAGCAATTCTGGAGAGAAATCACTCGAGGCAACCGTGGTGGGCGGTGGAAACGAGTGACCGTATTTGTGTGCTTTGGATTCATTGCAGTGTATGCATCTCAAAGTGATTCCATTCACATCAAGCTGATCGGACTTATTCTAGCCTTGCAATCGCACTCGGGATATGTATCCCCCGTGTGCCTTCGTTTTCACTCAGCAACAGCGCACCTCTGGGCAGCGCGACAGGAAATTGGTCCACGACTGTGCCAACCCTCTTCTCGCGTGCTCCCGCCAACTTCTCTTTCCCTGCTGTTGCCGACTTGCAAGTTGACACGAACGCCAACTACTTACCGCTCCACTTCAACTCATTGAGCGGAAGCATCTATGACCTGGAAACGGGCTTCCTCGTTGCCACAGGAACCATGAATGGATTCTCAATGAAGGCGAAGAGCTTCGTCCCCCTGCTGCTTCCACTGAACTTTACATACGTCGCTGTCAACGACACCGACACCACTTGCAAGTATCCGTCTAAGAATGCAATCTTTATATCTGACATCAGGCGAACAGGGGTGACTTGGTACAACGCATGCAAGAGCAAAGGTCAATATCCCGGAGGCAGTCGCCCAGGTCTTCGCTTCTCGCTCGTCCTCAAGATGAGCATTTCGGGTCTCCTCCGAACACTGACAACATCGACTCAAGTGACGAATGCCAACTGTCCTATTGAGCTGCCTGCGAACAGCGCATAGACACTCTGCCCAGGAGCTGCATTGCAACACACACTCTTTACTCATATCGCACGGACTTGTCATTATATCTATCTCATCACGCATAATGCCAGTTTTCTATTAGGATCGCGGTCGTTCTACATGTGTGGCTTGCGCTCTTTCGGACTCGTGATATATTTCCTGCCCTTGAAGACCTTTCTGTATATTTTAGCACGGGCGCGAATGTGATTGTGCGGTACGCATGTGTCCACCTGTCAAACGCGTCACAATCAGTTCTCCCTCCCTCTCTTTCTTCGTCCCTCTAAACCTCATCAGTATTCGATAGGCTGTATCCGATCTGTATCAGCATATCCACTCGCCCATTTCTATCAAGCCATTCTTTCCATATATATCTCCCCCACATGGACCATACAGCTCCTTCAAGAGGCTTGCGGCGCCGCTCAGGTGGTTCCACAGCTTATCATCAAGTTCGAGATCAAGACGATGGCCAAGAAGACTTCAATCTTGCTGCTGAGGAAGACCCGAATGCCTCGGACGCGTGGAAAGCCACTATCGTTCTCGTTCGTCGACAGACTGCTTCGCCAATACTTCCGGTGCTGCCTAGAGTGGGGCTCGGCTCGGGTCTATCATCACCACCTCGGCGCTGTATCTCGCCTCTAGCGTCTAGCTCCAGCCAATCCAAGTCTTTTATGTCTACCGATGATCTCCCGACTCCGGGCTATCCGCGCGACGGAGCTGCGTTAGTCACCGCGTTTTCCGACGGTCGTCAATGTCTGCCGATTGCTGTGCGCGGTGACAGACCGTATGGTTCCCCGCCTCAATATCGCGATACATCTGCATCTTCGACTCTGGGCGATTCTTGTTCTGACGCCGGCGCCACTGACTCGGGTAGGGGCAGTGGTGCATCTCCCCGCGGGCCGATGTCAGTGGTATCGCGCGGGCTGGGCGTCTTCAGCCGCTCGTCTTCGCGTGCCGCGGAGGGTTTCATCTCGATTCCGGTGACCTGCGAATCTGACTGGTGCGGACGCACTTCTCCCGGGGGCTCCGACAGCGGTGGGTATGACAGCGACTGTGCTGGTGACCCGCGGATGCAGACGCAAGTCATGGACAAGTTCACGCACAAGTGGCCAGGCCAGAGACTCGGGACCTCTGGATCCAGCAAGAGCACGGGTGCAGATACAAGTAGCGCTTTGCTCGAAACGGGACATGGTCCAAGCGCGAGTGCAGTGGAGCGGCACTGGACATCATTCAAGCGCTGTCTGGTGGTGTCTGTCGTGTCTGTCTTTGTGTATGGCAGTGCTGCGTTGGTATGTGCCCTGATGACTTGGTTCCGAAGTGCGTCGGAGCCGCACCCGCTTTGAGGGAGAATGAAACAGCGCTGATCGGTCCATACAGCATGGGATTCCGCAGCCGTCATGTATGTAGCTGACAATGACGTGCTGATCCTCATAACGCTTGCCGGATCCATCCTTGTTTTTACCGCGCTCGTCGGGCTGGCGGGTGTTCTGCTCAACTCTCGGCCGATCCTGGCAATGTATGCTGTGCTGCTGTGGCCGGCATTCATGTCCCTAGTTTCGATCGGGTACGTCGCCTATAAGCGAGCAACATTTTCGCTCGATCGCAAGCTGGACATGTCCTGGAGCCAGTATTACACGCCTCTCGGCCGGCTGCTGATTCAAGACGCATTGCACTGCTGCGGCTTCTACAGTCCCTTGCATGATGCGACACCGAGCAAGCGGTGTTTTGCGCGGACGTCGCTGCCGGGATGCAAGGGCAAACTCTTCCGCTTCGAGCGCGAAAACTTGGCTACCGTCTGGGCTGTGGTCTTCTCTCTCGTGCCGCTTCATCTGCTCAATATTTTCATTGCATTGTTGTGCGCGAACCATGTCACTGAGAGATTTGGGACGGGGATGATGCCCGTGAAGTATCGTTTGTCGGGAGCGGACGTTCAAGCCGAAATAGAGAGGCTCCGGATCAAGTACAAGCTAGTCGAGAGGTCCATTTAATACATACAGGAGTATTAGGGAGATAAACTATCGAACAGATCTTTCTTCGAATATTGTTGCCAAGAATGCAGTGCACAGTTGGGTTCTAGTTTAGGATAGAGTGAAGATTCCAACACATATCCTTCAACGAAAACAAACAGGTCATCGCACTGAGCGATCCCTGACTAGTTCGGACTGCATTATCACAGCTGACATTTCTCGATGAACTTGTGAGTGTCCCGAATCACTGGTGTGGTCCTGCGCAGCGGAATCCTTCCGGGCGACATCCTCAACGTCGTTGTTGAATTGTACCGTGCGGATCTTCTCCGACATCAGAGGCTGAATGTCAACTTCGACGTGCAGCAAAGGCATCTCGGACAAGGCGGCTGTGCGCTGGGCCTCGAGATCGCCGAAAGCAGCCGCATCATCGGGCTTGAAAGGAAGCACGATCCAGGCAGCCACAGAAGAGGAATGCGGTGCGTCCTGTGATAGTTGCCGCTGCCGCAGCTGCTCGCGCACTTTCGAGAACACGAGGAAGAAGATTCCGAACAGGATGTAGACAGTCACTGTAAGCTGATGAGTTTGATCGCACGCCGTGCAGATGGTGGGGACCGACGTATTCCACCTAGGACCCATAGAACCTCGCTGATTTCGAGGACCGTATTCGAGATGGGAAGAATGATTGAGGATGTAGACATCTAGCTTTGGTCTGTGCTCGGGAACTTATACTATAGTAGTCTGCTCACCGGCTTCTTATACAGATTTTAAAACATGTTTTTTACAGGGTTGTCCACTAGTTTGAACTCGTAGACAAAAATACTACATCCTTCTTGATCGGCTGCCGCAAAGCTGTATGATGCTGTTGAGGCCCCCCGGCAGCCGGCTACCTCGCTGCTGATGCTGTGGTAGGTGTCAATAGGTTGTGAGAATAGCTCGAGTGCATAAAAAAATCCCTTGAACGAGGATATAGCCAGGTCCAAAAGGCTTGGGGCTTGAAGGGAGGCAGGCGCTATTGGTGTCACGCTCGCCGCAATCACGTGACCGCGTCATGCGACTTGGGGACAGTGTTTGACCTCAAAATCTCAACCGTTTTTAAGGAATGGCTTAAGTCGGGCACTGAAATTGATCACCTAACGGATCAAAAGGAGCCCCGTGATACACTGCTCTCGAGGAAAGCACACACCGTTGAGTTATTGTGAGTCACGCTGTTCACTATTTTGATCTTCTAATAATGTCACATGTGGGATGTTGTCACAGGGGCTGTACGTTCAAATGTTCAAGGCTGAGCCATCTTGGCTATTTTATCTATGATCCATCCAGTGCGCTGGCTCCTAGTAAGCGCGCACAGAAAGCTGACGTGCTTGAGCTCGTGCCAGACGTCATAGCATACATTGGCTGTTAGCCTTTCCATGTTGTCTCACCTTCATCGCTCTGGGTAGATACCTGAATGTGGAAAACTTGCGTTCGACTCTCTGTGGGTCCCCAACGAAGTGCTTTCGGGATAGTTGCTTCATCTGGAAACATATTGGAACTCACAACTTGGACTTCGCAATAAGCGCTCGGAAGAGAAACAAGATCGGCCTTCCCAGGACATTCATCACTCCAGAACCGACTGTTCCGATGATGTTCTCAACTCAAGGCTAGCCTAGACGCCCCATTACATCTATTCCCGGATCCCCGGCTGTACGAGGCTTACAATTTTTCCGATTTGAGCCCAACGTCATGCAATAAATATAGGTAAATCCGCGATCAAACGTAAGATAGGGAAGGACACGAGACTCTACAGCTCTGTGGGAGACTCGGGCGGGTACAGCAGCGTGAGATCCCTCTTCATCAAACGGACTGTTGAAGAAGCTCGTCAGTCGAGGCGCCCAAACGTGGCTCTGGACATGCACGACTCACTTTCACAGGTCCCCAGATCGCCGTCGTCGTGTGTGAATTTCGGATCGCTTTCAGGCGGAGGCGGAGAGAGCTTGAACACAGGGATCTGAAACGGCGGTAACTTCCGCGGCTCCATCGTCCCATATCCTGATGCAGATCTTGGCGAACAGGATTCATCTGCGCGAGGTCAGCCCTGGTTCGGCTTGTTCCGGGCTGCTAGGACTTGCCGTCTCTCCTGTGTTGACGGAGCTTGAGAGTCATCCATCGATCCCACAGGGCCAGGGCATAGAACACGAGCATGAAAAGCACCACCATCACGGCACCTATGTAATGAGGCTTATGAGCCCTGCGATTCATGAAGCCTGAGTGGGAAACCACACTTACACGAGGAGGAGCCGGAGTCGCACGAGCATTCAGGGATTGGGAGAGAGGTGGGGGCCATTGAAGTGCTTTCAGCCCTCCCTCGCTTTTCTAATCAACATACCAAGAGGAGTTGCACAGCATCGGGCTTCCTGAGATTTCTGAAGCCAGCCAAGGGGGGCTGTGGCGTAGGGCTATTCAAGGAAGGATCGGAAAGAAAAGACGTTTCCCGACGCTACGCAGACACGCAGCATGACACACGCAGCGGCTTGGTACTCAAAGTAAGGGTGTCGAGGGACCTTGACTCTTGAGAGACTGTTTGGGCGGCTATCCGATGGGGCAATGTCAGAGACTATGCGGCACGTGCCTGATTGGCATTATGAGATCGACCCACGTGCCACTGGTTTCCTCCCCACAAATGAAACGGACATTAAAGGTGAATCAACGCATCACCATCTAATGATCGACAGATTCGAGGAAGCCTCTGTTAGTCCATGGTATCTCACCCTAGGGGTTCCCACAGTCCCTCTCCTTGCCGCTAGGATAGGCTAGGACCCTGAGCAGCATGCTAACGATACTTACTGTGCAGCGACCTCTAGACGTGCATTCTCTAAACATGGTTAAGTTAGGGTTATGGTCAGCTTCGCACTCTCCGTGTGGCTTTCGAATCTGCCTGTCATACACATCATTGCTGAAGAAGCTGCCAGTGCTAGTCTGCTCGATTCTCGAGAAGTTTTGACAGTTCGCATCAGGACAGTCGACCTGATGGTAAGCGGCAGGATCCTCCGTATTCGCAAGACGTAGTCCTGGGGGAGCATCTGAAACTTGGTCTGCCACACCACTCTGGCGCTGTTGCAGATGGGGTGCTTCTCGGTGTGTCGCACTGCATATCTTTCTATTCTGACGGCCCCATCATACCTCTCCAAGATCGGTGCCCGGCCGTGTGGCGGTGGCAATGCCTTAGGGACTGTGAGCTCGTTGAACCACTGCCTGAGGGAGAGTCAAGGAGCCGTAACTACCCGCCCTGCCCTCTCAGCCTTCCTTATGCGATAGTTCCACTGCTTTCATTCAAGCTTCCTGTGTCTACGAGAAGGGCATGGCTCACGAGCTTTCTCCGCGTCTAAGGCTATCGTTCAAGTCTACTCATTTCGCTGTTCCTCCGCTGTGGCTTTGTCGTGGCCGTGACGAGGTAGCGCCAGGGACTTGGGTATCTCGTCATACTCGTGCTATCCCTCGCTGTCGACGCACTCGATTCCGACTCCATAGAGAAGACATCGCATATATCTCCTCCAAATCGCTGCTGTTGAGCTGTCGCAAGAAGCCATGCTCTGTGAAACGTTCCCGGGACTGCGTCAGTCGGCCTAGATACATCATTGCTTGCTTTCCGAGTCTGTGTCTTATCCGCCTGTTTCCATTGGACGCTTGGCAGGCTTCGACGGTCACTGGGTGTAGTCTAAGTACGATTGCTGTATTCTCGCGGAGCCATCACGTGGTTCCAATTGCGACCGTGCTTCTGCTTCTCCACCTGCACCCTGTTCTCTCTTACCCATGAATATCCTCACTGTCTTACTCGTCCTCGTCCCCCACACATGGGCCCTGTGGCCCATGCCGTCTACTTTGACCACAGGGTCTGCCTTCCTCGTTCTCTCCCCAGCGTTCCAAATCACCGTCAACTTTGCGGACCCACCGCAAGACCTGCTCAACGCGATCGCGCAGACCAAGACGTATCTCGCAACAGACAACCTCCAGGCATGCCATATGTTCTCCCGCGTCGTTTGCAGATATATCGAGTGCAGGAATATGTAGCGTCTCGTGCCCGGTCGCGGCGCATTCAACGCGAGCGCCATCCGATCCGCACCGGCTCTGACGTCCCTGGTGCTCTCGCTTCTGCCCTCGCCCTCGCCGCACCCCATGCTCTCGATCTCGGCCGAATCAGTGAAGCCGCTCGGCACCCGGTCCGAGGGGTACACGCTCTCGATCCCGAGCACCGGCAGACCCGCGGTGCTCGCGGCGAACTCGACGCTCGGGCTGTTCCGCGGGCTGACGACGTTCGCGCAGTTCTGGTACAGTCTGGACGGCGAGGGGCGTACGGTGTATCTCGATGTGGGCCCGGTCGATGTGGCGCGCGATGCTCCGGCCTACGTGAGCGACCCTTGCCTGGCTGAATCGTTGTGGTGATTAAGACTTCTCCCAGAGCTATCGGGGGTTTATGCTCGATACCGCACGTAATGTGGGTCGAATGGACTAAGTACCTCTGCTCGAGCTTCGCGGCAGCTGATAACTCAAAAAGTTCTTTCCGGTGGCGGATATCAAGCGAACCTTGGATGCGATGAGCTGGGTCAAGCTTAATATGTTCCACTGGCACATCGTCGATTCGCAGAGCTTTCCACTTAGTCTTCCCGATTACCCGGAACTGGCTCAGAAGGGTGCTTATTCGGCGAACGAGGTATACTCTCCTCAGGATGTGGAGGACATCGTTCAGTATGCTGCCGAGGTACATAGTTTGTCGCTTCCTGCGTCCCATATGCTGATATCCAATCACTACCAGCGTGGGATCGACGTTCTGATGGTCAGTTTACAGATGATGTTTGTTTCCCTTCTCCCAGTCGTAAAAATCGAGAGTAGGAAATCGACACACCAGGACACACAACTGCGATCGGCGAATCCCATCCAGAATACATCGCATGCAACAAAGCCAGTCCGTGGACAACCTATGCGAATGAGCCTCCCGCTGGCCAGCTCCGTCTCGCCACCCCTGCGGTCGTGAATTTCACGGCGAGTTTGATCGGTGCTGCGGCCAAGGTTTTGCCTGGCCAGTATTTCAGTACCGGTGGCGATGAGCTGAATACCGAGTGCGTATATCTATCCTATTCTCCTGTTCAATGGTCAGCCCGAAGCTGAGTTTTATCGTCTGCGAGATGTTACGCGAAAGATGCGCAAACCCAAGCGGATTTGAAGAAGAGCGGGCATAAACTTGAGCAAGCCTTGGATGCATTCACTCAAGCTACCCACGGGGCACTCTTGCACCTTGGGAAAACCCCGGTCGTTTGGGAGGGTCTGTTTTCATTTGCCTTGTGCATAAATTCGGCCTCTCGAGGCTTATCTTCTGGTCGTAGAGATGGTCTTGGATTTCAATCTCAAGCTGTCGAACGAGACTGTTGTCATGTGATTCCCCCAGTTCTACTCTGACGCACGTGAAATAACAAGGCCCTACAGGGTTTGGATATCGGCCGCGGATGCTGCCTCGGTGGTCGAAAAGAACTTTAGAATCGTGCACTCTGCATCAGACTATTTCTATCTGGTGAGTTTAGCAGGATCCAACCATCGCAACGGGAATATCTGATTCTGCGCGTCAGGACTGTGGTGCCGGTGAATGGATCGGGGATACGTCTACTGCGTTCGTCCCTTCGTGATTTATCTAACTCTGAGCTGAACACTGATTGAGTTCCATACTAGAACTAGCTGGTGCGACCCGTTCAAATCTTGGCAGTGGGTGCGTGAACCGCGTCACCTGATCTGATGGGATATTCACACGCATACAACATTCCTTTTCCAGTCGTATACCTTCGACCCGCTGGCAAATATCAGTGCATCAAAATCTCATCTCGTCCTTGGCGGTAAATTTCCGTTGATACTGAAGAGTTCAAGTTGAATTCTATCTTTGTAGGAGAGCAACTCCTCTGGACTGAACAAACGGATCCGAGCAACCTCGACCCCATCGTCTGGCCGAGAGCGGCGACGTCGGCCGAGATATTTTGGACCGGACCCAAGCTGCCCTCCGGCAAGGCACGGACTGGCGTGGAGGCTCTGCCGCGGCTGCACGATCTGCGGTATCGCATGGTGCAGCGGGGAGTCCGGGCCATTCCGATTCAGCCGCAGTGGTGTGCGCTGCGGCCAGAGTCCTGCCTGTCTGCTTCTTAGCTAAGACTTGCTGAATCGAAGCGTGTTACCCTGCTACGTGGAGGAGAAGGACGAGCGACAGCATGTGACCTAACGCGTGTGATGAGGTCACGTGAAAAGTACCTGACCGTGTATCTTGGAAGTGTGACCTCTCTAGCCTTCTTGCAACATTGTCTTGGATCTGGAGAAAGGATTATGTATTTTACCTCAGCGACGGTTCGCCTAAAGAACTTTCTGCGTTCCCGATGTTCTTGAGACCCAACAACGCCTGGCTGCGGCTGCATTGCTCGACCACTACTTGACCTTGGCCGACAATCTTGGTGCTATCTTTCTGGAGATAGATGCTTGATTGCATTCTGTGTGTGTTCATCAAGAGCCACGGGAATCTCCGAGACTCATCGACGAGGGTCATAAGCTATCTACCGTGCTTCACCTGGGCTCCCTGATGATACTTGGTGCTGCTTTCCAAGACCTTGCGAACCCACTATGACGCTATCGTTGAGCTCATTGCATTCACAAACGATCGCGTCCCACTCCTCGCGTCGAGCAGGTTGTCGAAGACCGTATCCCCATCTCGCGCATACAGCAGCAGTTGGACCCGATGCCCGTATCTCCGAGCCCAGTCCTGGCAGTCTCAGAGAGACTGGACGTCGTGTGCGAAAGCGGCAACGAATTCGGGACGCCAGGAGGCTGTGCACTCTGAGCCCTTCGATGGCTAACGGTGGAGTCACCGATCGCCTGCACCATTTCCGATGATCTGTTGTCAACTCCAGCACGCCATCGGCCGCGCCTAGTGCGCCTGCGACTGGGGGGCAATGAAGTCGCACGAGGACCTCGGAGGAGTCTGAACCGAAAATGCCTTGGCGGTATCAGCAGAATTCGTCCCCGTGCCTGGGACTGCTCTCCATCCGGCATGTAAGACGTTGTAAATCGCATCGTTCGAGCGCCAGCCCTTACCCAGGGTAGACGTCGGTGCTGGTCCATCGCCGAGCCCCATGACGAGACCGCGTACATTTGCGGAATGCGTCTGGCGTCATTCATCGAGATCTTGACGCAAGAATGATAACTACTGGGATGGTCCATTGTATGACCAATATCCTGGTGTGGATCGGCACCAGAAGTCGAGACGCGACTCGAAGCTCGTATGGAAGGGGCAGAAAGACTCGATATAAGCCCGGTGATAATTGACAGATAGCGTTTAGGATCTCTAGGTATTCTATTCTTTTTTGTTGCTTGGTCTCGCAAGGATCAGGGCTGCGGATAGCACGGCGGTGCCGAACATCATGCTGCCCACGAATATCTCCATCGCTGCACGAGAAAGCAAGGTAATGAGATCCACGACGATCAGACACAAGCCTCAAAGCACACGTACTGGTAAACCCATACCCGGCCCACGAAGCCGGGAGCACCGACCCGTTCTTCGGGTGCAGAGCAGCAGAGATGAACGGCCCCGAGATCGCCGCCAGGCCCTTGGCCGCAGCGAAGAAGAAGAACGGGGACGACGCCTGGTCCGCGAACACATCTTTCGCTGCGGGCGGCCAGATTGAGCTGAACCCGCCGCTCTACCACCTCAGGTCAGACCGGGATCTTGTGACTGCGCACGCGCACAAGCAGATCGGACGTACCACACCGCCGAAGAGGATGGCGAACAGGAAGAGCAGGCCGAGGTTATGCGCATATCCCCATAGGACGAAGGCCAGCACGGTCGAGACGACGCTAGATCCCAGCATCGCAGCAGCATACGAGCCGCGATCACAGTAGTACCCAAATATAAGCTGACCTGTCACCGGAGAAAGAAGAGGAGCCCTTTGTGTGTGTAAAGGCAGTTGAGCGCGGACGGGGACTTACCAACGACGGTGGCCAGATTGAAGACCGTCAGCGCGAGGGTCCCATTCACCGATGAAAAGCCCAGTGACGCAGCGTATGACGGAATATACAGCGACACAGGGAAATACGCCAGACCCTGCACGAAGATCGCCACGGACTAAGTATCGCCGTATCAGCACGGGCATCAGCGAGTAGAATCGGACAGCGCACGCACGACGATGATGAACACCGGCGACCGGGTAAACTTAAGGTTCAACGGCGCCGGCGCGCTGTTCCGGACGACGGGCAGCCTCGGCTTTGCGCCAAACAACGCGATGCCGCCCAGAACGCCGACAATCAAAGCAAGCACCCTGAGCGTCCAACGGAACCCGAACCGCTGCAGCAGGAGATTGGTAATAATCGGGAACAGGGCCCCGCCAAGCCCGGAGCCCCCGAAGATGAGCGATCCGGCAAAGGCGCGTCGCTAGGAAGGTATGCGAACGGGTGAGACGGCAGCCGTGTGGAACTGGGACTAGTGCCGATGCGAACCCACCTCGACGAACCACTCGTTGAGCTGCGCAATGATGATCATCAGGCACAGAATGGGAAGCAGCGATCAAACGTACCCAGAACACGATCGGTCCGTAGAGCAGCCCTCCTGCAAATCCATACACCACACCCTGCAACAAGACGAGCTGCCAGACCTGTGGGCGCGCGCATGTGTGTGTCAGAGAACGAGACGACTGCCGCAGCGCGCCCATCTACAGTACCTGTGTCGCGAAACTCGAGAGCAAAAGCGAGCCGAAACATGCTATCAGAGCAACGGTCATGAACAACTTGAACTGCCGCGGAAACCGCTGCGTGATCGTCATGGTGCCGAGCCCCTCGATGTACTGGATCCCGATGGTAATCGTGCCGATGGCGTTGATGGACGCCTCCGACGCGTCGCGGAACGGGGACTGCGGCGAGTTGAGGTAGAACTCCTGGAACACGCCGTATCTGGTGGTCGACGTGAGCAAAGAGGCGGGGGGCGCCGGAGTCGCGCGCACGCACGAGAAGGGGAAGCCCCAGATAAGGCATTCGAGGATGAACGCGGAGAAGATGAACGTCCACGCTTGGACTCCGCCGTCGGCGCGAGGAAGCGTACTACCACCGGCTTGCTCTTCGACGGGAGCTTCACCCTGCACGCGACTGTTTCGGGGCGCGAGGTCGCCCAGCTCGACGGTGGCCGACTCAGTTGTTGTCGCAGTGGCCATGGTGTGCTCGGAAGATAGAAAGAAGCGGGGTCTGGTGCCAGGGAATGCAGGTCATGACAGCGAAACGATATACGAGGTTAAGAAGCAGGATGCTTACAATTTTGATCGGTCTCAGACATCCTTAGATGAGATGAGATATGGTAAGAGCACTGCTACTTATAACGGTCGCTGTGGAGATGCACATTGGCTGCCCGTGAAGCTCTGAGGCTTGAGATAGAAGCGGAGCGGGTGTCGTGGGCTCAAGGTCCACGCCAGCGCCACTGGCTGTGCACGGTCCATCTGTTCAGGGAGACTCTCTTCGATCGTGACCCTACGTCATGTCGCACCTAATGTTCCGAATGGCGACATTGGGTGATGTACACAAGGACTCTTGGCCTATGAACGATAAGTTGACGATAAGAGTATTTTCAAACTCGTTTTACATAACGCAAGCAAGTTTGAAGTCAATAATCAAATCGACTTACCTAACCCATTGGTCATAGTCACCGCTTCCACCTCGGGAGCCCCGGCCCAAACAGCGTCTGCTTGGACAAAAGTCGGCAGGCGCATCAGACCAGACCATGTACTACAACATGCAACACCTCCACACATACAGTATACTACATACTCCACCATTGAAAGACTCGTGGAAAATTAGCTTCCATTGACTGCACGATCCCCGGCCACATGGCGGATCTTACATTTTCCCACCGCCCTGGATTGGCGAAGGGTTCAGGGCCAGGCCCAGACCCGACAGGCGCGATTTCATGTAAGTACATAGCGAGTCCGGCGCGGAGCAGCGGAACGCGTATCAAATACCCGCGACACCGCAAAAAAGAAAAAGGGAAGCCCAACTGGTACACGCGGTGCGATGCGCACAATTCCCTACAATTCCATTGCCTCGGGCTGGGTATATGAGGCTCATAATGACAAATACATACAATATATACTTCTGAATTCGAATATCGGCAGCGCTCTCGCATTCACATGCACATTGTCGTTTCACGTTCACGGGTTGCTGGCCACTCCCGGGAGTTTCCACGCTTCCTTGATGAGCTCTGCGCCTCGCTCAGCAATAATGTACACTTCGCCCTGAGGGTATCCAGCCACGGCAGAAGGCTGGGTGGTTGCAGTGAGCACGGACGAGAACACCCAACAAATGGACGAGGGGACGCACCAGGACGCTAGCGTCGATGACCCGCAGTCCTTTCACGCCTTTGACATGCAGCCTCGGGCTGACAACACCGTCCACATCGGATTCCTTGGAGATCTTTGCTGTGCTCGTCGGGTGCTTGAGGGTCGTGGCGTACTTGCGGGCGTAGGCCTCAAAGTCCGCGTCGGTCTTGAGAGCAGCGACTTCCGGGTACGTCGAGACGACCACACCGTCCCATTCGGGCTGCGACATGAACTCGATCGCTGCCTTCATCGACGCGACGACCGTCCCGATGTCGAAGTCGGTCGCAAAGTAGTTGGGATCAATCGCTGGGTGGTCCCATGGCGATGCCGACGTCAGGTTGACAGACCCACCTGGACGCAGCCAGTCAGAAGAATGAACGGATCCGAGTGCAGAAGACGACATCCGGACTCACGAGACGTGGGGGACTGGACGACAACGCAGATCGAAAGGAAGTTCCCAGCCGGAACCGTTTGTCCGTCGTTCGGATAGAAAGTGCTCTGCGATACCCATCAGAGGTGAGCGCAGGTGATTACGATGAAAAACATACCAGGAACGCCATCTGGAAGTGCGCAGATTGGGGCCCAGCGGCGGGGTCGCCGTCAGCCAAGAGCGGAGAGTCTTCAGGCAGACGGACGAATCCGATGGTGTTCACCACAGTGTTGCCCGCAGCGGTGCCAGTCTTGTTGGTGGCCCACTGGACGACCGCATCTTCGGTGGCAACCGCATCAGCCAGGAAGGAAGATAGCGTGTTGACATCGACCTCCCATTGGAGGGCAAGAATAGTCTGGTCCTGCAGATTCTGTCCAACGTCCGGATGATCTACGATCGTCTCGATCCCGAACTTGTTGAGCTGCTCCGAGGGGCCGATCCCGGACAGCATGAGCAGCTGCGGCGTGCCTACGGACCCCGCGGACAGAATGACTTCCTTGCAGGCCGTGAAGCTGTAGCTCTTGACTGGACAATCCGATGAGAGTCGGCCCGACGGGAATAAGAGAGACATACATCCAGGACCCTTCGAGACCTCCACAGTCGTGAATGTGTTATTCGCCTTGCCAGGAGTGGGCACGACTTTGGTCACATGACTGTGCAGAAGCACATCCAAGTTGTGCCGCGAGTTGAGAGCCGGATGCAAGTACGCGTTGGCCGAGTTGCTTCGGCTGCCTTGCCCGACAGTGGTGGACAGCCAACCTAAACGCCAGATGAGATGACACTCTGTTGCGATCCGAGTCGGAAAGCACACGCACCGAATCCGAGCCCGTCGCCCGAGTTCAAATCCAAGTTGAATGAATAGTTCTCAGGGTGCGCGTCGACAACCTTCATGATGTTCGTGTCCGTCGGAAGAACGGTCGCGGTCAATCCGGTGAGCAGAGGACCCCAGCCATGCGCCGAAGGATCGTATTCGCCCACATTGGAGCGATTGTTCCAGGGCGGCGAGTGGGCCTCGTTCTGTTCCCCAGCATTAGAACACGCAAGCGAAGTTCAGGAGAACCGGCACGCGCCATGAAGATGTACGGCTCCAGATTGTCCCAGGTCCAGTTCGGGTCGCCAGAGACATTCGCCAATCGGCTGTACTCGTCCTTGGGACCTCGGAAGTAGATCAGGCCGTCTGCGCTGATTGGTCAGTAGCTGTTTTTGTTCCTGATGACGCGACGCACTCAGCGCTGCGCTGCCGCCTAGGGTATATCCGCGGGGGTATCCAATCTCCCGGCCGTTCAGCCCCGGTTGGGCGACTGTGGTGTAATCTGTCGCGAAAACCCAGTCAACGACAGAGCCCGGTTGTAAAAGGGTGAAGGAACGCACTCCAGTCGTATATCGTCCCGACGGCAGAGCCGGCCAGCAGGGGGCAGTAAATCGACGCGGACTGCGTCCCGTTGTCCCTGAAAACCGCACGGCA